TTATACAATGTACATGCACAGTAAAAACAGCAAGTACATTGCATACCATACAACCACCAAATATTATTTTATTTTAATTAGTAATTTTAAATCTGTTTACATGCTTACATTAATAAATAATTTTTAAATACATATGGATGTTAATATGTTATCTGGTTCTCTTTCATTCAAAATACAATTGATAATAATTTGACAAAAATAAATTGATTTGAAAACAAAATCCACACTCTATAAATAATCTTTCAAATTATGTTCAAAGTTACCAAATACAAAATGTTGTTTAATAAAGTACTACTAATGCAATGGATTAGAATATAATATTACCATTCATCATAAATGAATATTATAAAAAAAACCATACATCATAAATAAATATATTATTCCTTTAACGTGTATAATCCCTTCTTCATTAAATTTTAACTTAAATACATGAAAAATAATTTGGTTTTATTATACTTAGTAATAAATAATGTAAACTTTCTCTGTTAAACATTGAAAGAAGTAAGAGATTAAAGAGCTTTATTAGAAAACTATACAATAGATAAAGTAAAAGGTGTTTATTTTGGCGATCCATGTGTAACAAAAAGGTTTGCTTATACATATGATACAATATGGTTAGGTTAAATATACGTATCAATTTTATAAGAATATTAATAATTATATGTAATTTTTATAGTGATAATCTGCCTCATGATCCGATCTTTGACTAAATAATTTTCAATAAGCTCCTCTCAAGATAAATATTTTGAGTTTAACTTTATCATAGAAAACCTATAGATATCTATAAAATTTATCATTAATTATTATGGTTTATTATTAATGAATTTTAAAAGAATTCATTGTGGGTTGTTACACTAAATATTGCCATAACTTAAAAAGTTATAAACAATATACATTTTAAATATAATTTGTAGTTAATTAAATTTAATGCAGTATTTTTAAATACACGTTAATACAAATATAAATATTTAACATACCTATGACTTTGAAAAGCAATAACTCCTAATTCATGTAACACAAATGGATCATTTGGAGCAATTTCCAAAGCTTCTTTTAAATACTTTTGAGCCATAATAATATTATTTGTCAACGAACACTCTAAGCCAATATATAAAAGAGGCAAATGACATCTAAATGTAAAAAAAAAGTTATAATGTAAATTATTGTATTTATACTAAGTATTTACAAACATAATTCAAGAAATATTAACCCTTTCAAAAGTTGTGATGCTTTAAAATAAGCTGCCATTGCCTGATCATGTTCATTTTCAACTGCAAATGAATGTCCATAAGCTAACCAAGCTGGTCCAAAAGTGTTATCAAGGTTAGTAGCTTTTCCTAAATATCTTCTACTCTGATCTCGTTTTCCTATAATTAAAAACAATATATATGAAACTAATTATTTCATTAATTAATAAATTATTAAATACCTATAAGATAATAATAACACCCAACAGCAAACCATGCAATTGCCTGATCAGGTTGAAGATCCACCAATTTATGTGCTAAATAAAATAGTTCTAAAAAAACCAAAATTTAAGATAAATTAATTAATATTTAACTTTTGTGGATATATTATCCATACCGTTTGATTTTTCCAATTCCACTAAACAGGCAATGTGTATTGGTAAACAGTCAGGGTGATATGGGTCTTGTTTTAAAACACTCTGAGTAATTTGAAAACAATCTTTGTATGCACAAGCATAATAATGTCGTTCAGCTTCAGCTTCTTGAATATCTAGATTATCCATTATTAATTCAACAGGTATATCAAATTGTGAAAATGGACCAGTTAATTTTGGTTCTTGGTATTTTTTTAGCAGTACTTCATACAAAGGTTTTGTAATGCAATCATTTGGATGATTGCTCCACGGTAATGACTGAATTAACATTTGTTCTAAACACAATATTAAAATATTAAATAACATATAATATAAAAATTATATACCTTTAAATTAAAGAAGAGTTTCGACAGCTCAAAATTAAAAAAATTAAATTGGACTTTAAATTATTGAATTTATTTTAAATATTTAAAAGTTAAACTTAAATGGTAATTAAACTAAACCATATTAAAATAAAGAGTTCATAATTTAGATGATTCTATATAGAAAGTTTTTGAATTTTAACAATCAAGAAAACCACTGTTAGACATCGAGAACATTAAACCATTAGCTATTTTATCACCAGCAATTACATGGTAAAAAAAAATAAACAATATAATACCTTCATTAATTTTTATTCTATATTTACAATATCAATAACACTAAATTCTAACAGGCATTAACTTTATTTATATCTGAAATAATTTAATAATTATTTATGATAATAAATATTAAATTTAAATGTTTAAAATTATATCATATTATTTTATTATTTTTTATAAATGTTATAAAACAGTATAATAGTTGCATAGAATAATATAATAACAGATAATAGTTTCAATAACATAAACTAAAATAGAAAAAAATTTTAAATATCAAAATAATAGCTAATTTTGGTTGTATTCAAATGTATATAAGTTATAATTATACAAGAATACATAATTAGTTTGGTCTAACTACATAAAATTAATTTGCTTAGCTTCACAGTTTATGGTATTTACAAATGACTAATTATAAACCTCAATTTACCTTCATATGAAGTCAACATTTGATGTTGTATAAGAGCTTGAAATGCATCATAACAATGTACATCATTTCTCAAAGCTTCTCTATAACAATCTGTAGCAAAATTTCTGTTATCCAATGCTTCATATATTTTTCCTTTAATACAAAATAAAGCACTTTGAACCTAAAAAAAAATTACTTGTTTGAATTTTCTTCTTAGTCATAAAAAATTAAATTGCATACTTACATTGAAATGAGTCAAACCATCATGAGACTTCATGTCTTGTTGTTGAAGAGATACATTACATGATGTTGGATTTATTTCTGTATTAATAATATTAGCTGCTTCTGTATAGTCTTTAGCTTCTACTAAACATCTTAAGACCATGTAGTAACATAACATATCAGTCTTAAAAACAAAAATAATTATAATTAAAAGTTCAAAAATTAAATTAACTATAAATTATTATTTATTTATTTGTAAATTTTAATATTCTTACTTTATCCAACCCTTTATTTTTTATCAGAACAACTGCTCTTTGATATTGTTTTAACAAGAACATGCAACTAGCTAGTTGATACACATCTCTTGGATCGAAATGACTTAATGTAGCTGCTTTATCAGCCCAAAATAATGCAGATGAAAATAATTGCTAAAAAGTAAATGAGATATTATTTATTTAAAACATAACTGCATCAGTCAGTAAACAATAATACCAAGTCGAGATTTGTGCGGACTAGTTTTCTGCATTTTTCCAGGTGGGGATTATTACTCTGCTTCATATTTATAGTTTTTTAAGTGGCTATTAACACATCCGACGTGATTCCATAAATTTCAAACTTAACAGTAAACTGAGTAAACACTAAATAGTAAACACTAAAACTAGTTACAAAATACAGAATACAGATTTATATTATCTGATATCAATAAACAATGATATTTAGAGTTTTCAAATTTTTCATTGATAATAAGAAACTGACGAGTCCAGTTATACCAGTGTTGCCAAAAAAAAAGTTGTAAGTTAATTATTAAAAAAATTCATTTTAATTCATTTTATCTCCAGATTTTTTTTAGCTCCATCAAGACATCACTCACTCACTCACTTACTCGTTCGTAAGGTTTTCGTCAACGATCATACCATAAACATTAATTAATATTTTATTCTCGCTTATGATGTCTGTATGGTCAATATGCCTTCGGTGATGTTCATAAACACATTTACGGGAACTATCTGGTTCTGGTAGTTTACCTGACTTGGCTCAAATTTCCATATGCATTATGCTTAAAAGAAAAAACGTAACTTAATGCATTATGCAATACTTTTAGAATAAATGTTAAAAAAAAATCTCAGTGTAGTCTTTATAAATATTATTTAAAAGGATGTCGGCGACCAACGTGCACTGCTTGTTAACTCTCTTTAGTTCACGCGTAATACGGACAAAACGTCAAAACTCACTTTACGCAGAATCATTATTTTTTTACTTATATTTTTGAGTAATTTTAAAATAAAACCATCTACAACAAAAATTCTAGAAAATAATATTTTTGGGAGTGTAACATATTGATTTGTTTAAATATTGTCTCAAAACAATTTTAAAGATCATTTATTACAATTTGTTAGGTACTCAAAAACATCAAAAAATGATTTTACGTAAATGCAGTTTATCAATGGTAGGCGTGGGCCAGAGAGAGAAAATAAACAGTACCCTAACATTCTCTTAAGTATTATAAAATATTAAATAAAGTTTTTTTTTATTTACATACATAGGTTAATATAATGTAAGATAATTTTATCAGTGAATCTTCTATAATATTAAATAAGATCTTTAATACATCGTGTAATGAATGGTTTATAATAAAATAATTAAGACGTGAATAACATGATAACCAAAGTCAAAAAGTCATAATACTCCTAATGTTATATTAAATATTAGAATAGAGATCATAAATTTATTATACCTAATATAAATATTTATATTATATGATTAATAATAGTATGATTAATAATAGGTAGATGGGTACAATAATATTATGATCTAAGGAAGAAGTCATAAACAATTATACAGGCTAACAATATTTTCAACGCGAATGCCCTAGAAAAATATGTGATACATTTGCCAACACTGTTACGAACGATTATAATTACAGATTATCACTTGAACTGTTAAAATTTGTTCATAAAAATATTTTTTGTTTTCTTTTGTTACTATTTATTATTTTGTTATAAGTTTGCAAATATTTATAAGCCACAATAGTTTAAATTACTTATCAATGTATCTTATGTATTATTTAATATCATTCTAAATTCCAATAGTAATTAATAACCAAAATATGTCAAAACGTGAGTTAAAAATATCGGACATTTACAATTTTTCATCAATTTTACATTGCAAAATATAACTTTAATATATAGTCTAAAATTATTTCGAAATGGTAAGCGACCTTTGTAACTAATAATAGATTATAGTTCATATGATACAATTTTAAATTAACTTATTATTTTTATTTCTACTTATAATCCTATTTAAAATTGTATTAATTGTAAAAGCTCATTTTTATTTGTACATATATTTACGTTATATAATCTATTCATTTTCTTGTTGTTACTTGTTTAATTTCCAGAACAAATTAAAATCATCTCAGAAGGATAAAGTGAAAAAATTTATGACATTCACTCAAGCATCTGAAAGTGTTGCAATTTTCTGTTTAGCTAAAAATGACTGGAAATTAGAACAAGCGTCAGATAACTTTTTTCAAAATCCACATGAATATGAAACTGTAAAAATCAACACCCAATTAGGTTTTATAGTTGATAAAAGAAAACTAGAGGCTATGTACACTAAATATCGTGGTAAAATTGTTTTCTTATTATAATTGCTTATGTTTATGATCACAAATATTGGCATTCTTAAATTGTATAAACTTTATTTTACTGTATAATTTTGTTTAACACAACTTTATCTGATACTCATAAGTTTATTATTCATTACTAATATATTTTGCTTTAAATAAGTCTTTTAGTATTTTAACATTTTTCCATAAAATTAATAATATATGTCTATTTCTGATTAGATATAATTTGTTTATTTATTCAAGCATCATTTATATATTGTTTTAGATCCAGCTGAACCAAACAAAATTAATGTTGAAGGTGTTATGCGTTTACTAGATGAACTCAAATTACCTCCAGACTCAATATTAGTGCTCATAATTGCTTGGAAATGTCAAGCAGCAGCTCAATGTGAATTCACTAAACAAGAATTTTTAAGTGGAATGAGTAAAATGGGGTAAATAAATAGTTATATTTATTAATAATTAATATCTTTAATTTAATATAAATATAATTAACAACGTTAAAACTGGATGGTATTTTTTAATTATTCTTACCAGTGGTGCCAAACCTATACATGAACTGAAGCGATCTCTTCATATATAATATGTTAAAATAATGTAATATTAACATAATATATGTTAAAATCCTCAGTTGTGAGTAGGTATGTAAAGATTTTGATTTTGCTTCACTTAAATTTATTAAAATCAACACCACTGATTCTTACTAAACAAATCTTAAATGTAATTTACTATGAATTTCATATGATAATTAAATTTTATCTTGCAAAAATTTAAGATTAGGAAAGCTACAAATATTTTTTAGTTGCAATCATTCATTAACATCTTATTACATCAAAAAATGTAATTATTTTTATAATTTAAAAAATTTAATAATAGCATTGATGGATTTAAAATCAATTAGAAATACGTTGCACTTGACTTTATTACATGATATAGGTCTATAATCTCTGTAATTCCATCAATAGTTTCATAAATAATTCCTGTCTAGATCAGGGGCGGACTGGGACCCAATCGGCCCACTGTTCTGTAAAAATAAATTGGCCCTAACATAATAGCATAAAAAAACATCTAATCTCTTAATGTTTTTTAGTTTTCAATTTATTATTTTTGCACTGTGATTTACGTTTGATTCTCCTTAAAATATAATATAATATATATATTATAAAATTAAAACTTTTACTGATGTACCCCAAAAAAATTTATAGTAAGATTTTTTATTTTGAATTATTATACATTATTTTTTAATTATAACATACATATTATACATAAAATAAATAATATTATATAATTTACTTTGGTCTTTACACTGATAGCATTTGGTTCATCAATGATGAAAACTTTTTTATTATATTTAATATTTCTCGGAAATCAATAGCATCCAATATATCTCTTTTGATAGACATTAACATAAATGCTTCGAGATGGTCTTGATTTAAAGAGGATCGTAAATGGTTTTTAATTGTTTTAAGCTTGCTGAATGCTCTTTCACAGTTAACCTGTGTAACAGAGAGCGTTAAAACAAATTCAACTGCAGAATACAAGTTACAATATGTAGGTGAATGCATATTTAATTGGTATATTAATTTTTGTAGACATATTAGGCATGATTTTGATTTTTCACACACTAAAAAAAAAGACAAACATTTTTTCACTAAATATAAAAAAACATATTTTAATATATTTTGCTTTTAACTTCTGAATCTATTTTATCCCAATCTAGTATAAAGTTGTCATAGTCACACTCTTGGTTATCTTGAAATGTATCATCATCATTATACATTTTTGAAGTATTTGAACTCAGAGGCTTTGCAATATTGTTATATATTTTTGAAAAATGGTTCAGTTCAGACACTAATTTCTGATGGTTTATTAACGATAATTTTGATAATTTTTTTAATGCTGATTCTGGTAGATTATTGTCTTTTGCACGTTGAAAATTCTTTGGCAATAAATACTGAATATCAGCTATAATTTCCTTATTACTCGAAAATCTTTTAATAAAACTGGTTCTTAATTGATCAATAGTGCATTAAAAAATTTGTACTCTAAACTTATCAATAGGATTATAATAGGTTCATCTGAACACATTTCATCATAATTGCGCTTCTTATGTCTTATTATCCTCCACAATAATACTATCATTAAATTCAAAATTTGTAAATTTATCATTCATATTTTGTGAAAATTTCTCTGCTTCAATGACAATTGTATCAAAATTTATTTTTCCAATTTCATCAATTGTATTTTCTACCATTAACCAAACAGCTAAAAGATCTAAATTACTTGACTGTAAATATTTCGATGTATGTCCGATAGAATCAAAAACTTTAAGAAATAGATGGGCTGTTAAAATGATTTGGAATTCACACAATTTATCTTTTAGTGAAATTAATAATATTGATTATATTTTTTTTTGGATGTGTACTACTTCTTTAAGAACCCACGAGCCACCACTGGTCCTATGGATATAATACACGACACCAGCCCACTGTGCAAATGCACTGTAGCACAGTGGCCCAGTCCGCCCCTGGTCTAGATCTCATATTGTTTGTTTTTTGAGACTGTTAGGACACAATTTACTTTCTATTCCAGTCTTTTACTTTTCTTAAATGACTTATTTGTGCTCGCCATGTTGAAGAAATGAGCCCACCATACTTTAATCCCTATTTAAATTTATTTAATTTCTTATTTAGTATCATTAATACTTCGATGAATCCTCAAGTTTTTTAAAATTTCTTTTCTATTCTTATTATTCTTAATATATTTAAGTTTGCTGGATTCTTTATGTAATTATGTTTTCAGTTGTATTATTTGTAATCACTGTTTTTTTTTTTTTTTTTTTTATCTATAGTTGTAATTATTAAACAGTATTCATTTAAATATTGGGAGCTATTATAATAAAAAAAAAAATAAAATACTGACGGATAAGTAATTTAATACTTTATGTCAGTGTTTAATGTGTAGAGTTGTGATTCAACTGTAAGCTTCAATCCTATAGAGTTTGTTTTTTAAATTTTCATCATTTATTATATTTATATGACTAACATTGTATACAAGGTATTTCTAGGGAAATTAAAATATTAGAAATAACTTAGAAAAGTAAAGAATATTCATATCTTAGTATTCAAAATAAAAAATATCACAACACAATGTTAGTGTTTCTGTTATAAATATGAGATATTTAATCTCCGGTCTTGAATAAGGTTTATAATTTTTATTTAGTTTTTAATAATAAAAGTTTTAAATACCTTTTTTTTTAATATTGCAAGATTTATTTAAAAAAAATATCTATCCATTGAAAAATGTTGTTTATCATCTAAATAAATTAAATATAAATTAGGGTGTGTACAATTAATTAGTCTTTCAGCAATAAATACAATAATGATGTCTAATTAATTTATCGATAGAAAAAGTTTAACATATTATATACTAACAAAATAAAAATGCATAATTTATTTTATTATTTTTATTAGGTCTGATTCAATAGAGAAATTAAAAATTAGATTACCAATTTTAGAGAGAGAACTTTCAGATCCATCAAAATTTAAAGATTTTTATTATTTTACATTCAATTATGCTAAGAACATAGGTCAAAAAGGTCTAGACCTTGATATGGCTATTACTTATTGGAACATTATTTTTGTGGGCCGATTCAGGTTCCTTGATTTATGGTGCCAGTTTCTTAGAGTAAGTATTTCAAATTAAAATTAAAACAATACATAATTTAATTTATATTAATGGTTTTGTTATAATTATTCACATGAAAGAAAATTTTAAATCAATGATTAAAGGCAATCATAACTCTTATCTGATAGTATTTATTGTATTTAATAATAATTCACTAAATACAAGTTATTGTTTTATTTAATGATGACATATATTTTGTTATTTTTTAAATCCATGAATCATAATTTTTTATAGGAACACCACAATAAATCAATTCCTAGAGATACGTGGAATCTTTTATTAGAATTTTCTTGTGTCATTGATGAAGAAATGACAGATTATGACCAAGAAGGAGCATGGCCAGTTCTAATTGATGAATTTGTAGAATGGGCTAGGCCTATAGTCTGCCGAAATAAATCTACCCATATTATAAGTGAAACCCGATTATTGTAAAAATTATGGAACATTATCATATACATATGTTTATAAATTATAATATTGAAAATGTTAATTCTCTGTTTTAATTTTGTTTGAGGGAGAATAATGTATGACTGCTCTACAAAAATATGTACCATGGGAATATTTTTAAAATATGTTATTTAATTTTTATAGCCTAAATTATATTAACATTGTATTCTTTATTTCTTATAAAATTTGGAATTTAATAATTATTGTGTTATTAAAGCTTTAATGAATGAAGTATTTAGGTCTCATTGTTTGTTAATATAGATTTTAACATAGATTGTTTGTATAAATTAAAATAATAAACATTTCTGGTTCTGGCTTTCAACAATTATTATAACTTAATTGTAAATTATCTTAATAATATAATATAGTTATGTACTTTAATAAATAGAATATCTACCTCATTGAACACATTTATTTGAAATAAAATAAATTAATGCAATCTAAAAATTAATAAAGATTAAAAAAATTTAGATAACATATTGTTAAAAGCCATCTATCTACTTTTACTTATATCATTATTTCAATGAACATTAATTAATAATTAAATATACAACATAGGTACAAAGAATTCATATAATTAATAATAATATATGCAATATATTATATATTTCCTATAAAACAATTTTTATTATGTTAAAATTTTTCATAACTTATTAAGATTACTATTGTTATTAATGTACTTATAATTTTTATTATTTTATTAAATATGTAAATTGCATAGTAGAATACATACAAGGTATTTACAACAATTTTTGTTTACAAGAAAAGTTAATTATCTCAAATCAAAGCTGAGCATGATTGATCACCACGGTCAATGGTCATCATTATAATAGAATTTATCTTATTGTTTGAGAGAATGTAATAAAGGGATAAAACTTGTCTTTTTTAGTGAGTGCTATATTATATTATTATGTACTCATGTAGAAATATTAACTCAAACATAGTTTATTTTTAGTTTACACAAGTATACATTTGATTTAATTGAGATCATGGCTCATTATCTGTTCTTATCTTTTGACTATATTTTTCTTTTAGCAATAACATTTTGTAACATTTTTATTTAAATCCAAATTGTCCTTCAATTTCTACCGTCCAATTGAATAATATTTTCTAAATAATAAAATTATAATTTGATAATTCTTAATTTCTAGTATTTACATTTAATAAAACTGTATATATTTCATATATGAATATTATGACAATTTGATATTGTAATTGTCAAGTGCAATAGAATTGTATTTTAATTGGAATAGAAAAATGACACGACTTTCAAAATTATTTAATTATTATTTTTTTCGTTACAGATGCTGATGTTATGAACATGTAAAATAAAATGATGTACATATTATACATTTATAATTTACTATTTTTGTTATTCTCATACCTTATAAATTCATTTATTTATTAATTTGCTATTATATAGACGATTGAAATATAACTATTTTTGCTATTATAATTTATAAGGTAATAATATATAAACACTTTTTTGTTTGTTAATAATTATTAGGTATTTATAATATCCCTGTACTTCTCAACTCCGCTTTTGAAATTAGTATTTATTTTTATATTTGTAATTGATTTCTATATTTTGGAAATCATGGAAAAATATTCTGTTTTAAAACAATATGTACCTAATTAAAAATGTTTGCAGTTTTCAAAAGAGTAAAAATTTTAAAAGTTACAAAAACAATAATTTTTGATGTAATAAAAAATGTGTTATATACATTGAGTAATATATTAAAATAATTACCCAGTACCTGGTGGCTAGTAATTACTATTAAGACTACCAGTGGCACAGCTATGAGTATGATTGGTGGGAGGGGGTAAATGTAAATTAAATTTTTTAACTATTCAAGAATCAAGTTCAGTTGTGTTAGTGTTTATATAATATGTATACATATTATATCATAAATGATTAACTCCCCGATGTGAAATTTGTTTTTAAAATTATACATAAAAAAACTATAATATATATGAAAACAACTATTATAATATAAATTATATATTTATAAGGAGGGGAAGACAATGCGAAGTTTACCCCTCTCCCTACCATCACACACTATAGACAACAGAGTGTAACAAAAATAGTTGATTAATTACTAATTAATAATTATGTACTTGAGTCTTTATCAGAAAATTTAGACACAACTAAACAACTACAGTTAATAATTTACATTTATTTATAGTTCGTGTGCGTAATAGATAAGACAATAGAGACTAGTCCCCTTAGTACTTACTACTAACTTGAGTGTTGTTTAAAAGGTAGGCTGGCTGCTGAGGAAGAGGGGTCTTGGAAGTTAATTAAATCACTTTTTCCTTCTTTCATAATAAGTAATAATCAGTTATTTTCAGAATTTTATAGTCTTAGATTTAGATTTATCTGTATTATCAAGTACATTTCTTAATTCTTTTAGTTTGCAAAAAATTATTGGTCGGTTGTCACGCGAACCACGCATGACACTCCGTAGTCCGCAGTAATGTAGTATAATATTTAGCGTTTAGGCATTAAGAAAACTAATATATTCAATAAAGATTGAAGTCCCAACAAAAACATAATTAATGTTTCTATTTGATGTTGTTGACATTAAATAAGGCAATATAATTTTCAAGGAAGTAATAATTTCTTATATTATTCTAATGATTTATTGGTAAATAAATGGAATATGGATGATAAGAACTAAAAGAAAACCAAACTAAATAAATTATGATTTGTATAATTCTAATTTTAACTACCTACAAATTTAGATAAATAATCCAACTGATCGGGTAGTTAAATAATATATTCGTACTCTTCTATATCATGAAATTACTGAATATTATATAAATAAATTAAATAAAGAACATATATTATTATATAAAAGCATAATCAAATATTTAAAATTATGTTTTTATTAGACTTTTGTTGAATTATTTCATATGGTTTATATTAAAAGTAAAATACAAATTAGTTTACTTAGCTAAGTACTCAAATAAAATTATCGATACCTAATTGTATAGAAAATGGTAAAAAGTTTTCAATATATTATTATTAAATTCTTAAAATAATTTTTTTAACTATATTTACGATTTTTATTATATAACTGTGGAATTTGAACTAGGTACCTTAGTTTGTATGGGTCTTTTCTACTAATTTAATGAACTTTTGTTTCGTTCACAAAATTAAAAGAATTTCGTTTATTCTGTGGCACATACACCGATAAAACTTTTCGAACTAAAAAATTCTACTCACAAAATTTTATAGAAATATTGAATAAATATTAATAAAAAGAAAAATCTAAATAAAGATAAAAACGAAATGTTTATAATGTTTTTTATTTATTTAAATGTAACTTTAAAAAATAGATACGTAATATTTTTACAAATTTACAGCTACGCATTATTAATGTCTACATTAAAAAAAAAAAAAGAAAATCCGGTTCTCCGGAATTCTGTATAACATGGCCAATCTAAGTAGGTAATCGAACTGCAAAACAACACCAATCCAGCGGAAAAGAATGTTGTACCACAAGACAAGTGTCTAGTGTATTACATTTTTTACAACGGGTCATAAATTTTAAGTTGGTTTTTAAAGTCAAGTTATAATCCTGCATTCAAATTATTGATTTACCATGTAGGATTTTTTCTGTTTATCGTATTTTACGGTTTAGTCGTTAGGTGTCAAGACGAAAAAAACCGAGCAATTATTATGAAAACGGTGTAGCGTCCTAGTTCGACGGGGGAACGGTCATTCAGAGTTCTACGATGTGTTATTTAAAAACGCGGACGTCGCAATGAGCGTGAACAAGGGAATGATGATGTAAAAAAAAAATGCGTTGAATACAAAAATAAAAAACAAAAACAATAAAACTTGGATCGCGACATAGGAAAACAGCGGCGTGGGCTTAAAACGATGCAATATTTGCCGTTTGTACGCGGTCTACGCGTCATTCGTAGTTACAGATGTTACAGTAGTTCGCGGTTTTCGTCGTGAAGGCATTTTTTTTTAGAATTATGTTCATCTCGTCGGAGTGACGCGATCGTGACGGTGACCGCCGAACACGGTCGTTTTATTTTCAAAAAAAACTTAAAACACCCAGGCCACCGAACGACAGACGCACGTCGTCGACGACCGACCGCGGCGTAGTCGTCCAATCGCCTCCGCCGCGCGCATCGACACACGTTTCCGCAGTCCGCGGCTACGTTCGCCGCAGCCTGATGCACGCCCTTGTCCTTCACACACACGGACGCAAATATGCGAATTGGGATCGTGTGACGTCACGGCGTGTGTGAGTCGGCAAAAAACCGGACGAGATCAGCAGTGGTGTATAATATTATCAGGAAAAGACGCTGTACGTACTACAACGGTATAAGTGTGTGTGTGCACCGCGGAAACGATCTCGGTCGGGTTATATATGGTCATATGAGTAGTACTCTACAACCGTCTACTACTGTCTACTACTACTACCACTATTACAACGATAACAACAACAAACGAACAAAGCCGTCGTGTGACGTCGCTCGCGACGTTACGATGATGATGTCACGCGTGCATAGTGTACACACACACATATATATATATATATGTATGTGTATATTATGCGTTGTTGCAAATATATATTTTATTTACGATAAATCGATACGTCGCGATTTGTGACCTTTGACACGACGTTTATATTACGTTTGAACGCATGAAGTTTGATATCAGAACAGATTTATTGGACGTACAGTGTTTTTATTTTTTAACCATGTCGGGTTCTCGGTCGTGACGGAGATATGTGGAGAATGTATTTTTTTGAGTTTTAATAGTGCACGCGGTGCTCATTAACTTTGTTTGGATTTTCCGACTCGACCGACGTACCTATGACTCTCATTGTACGATTACGAAATCCGGGAGAAACCGTTCCGATGTGGAGTAAACGGTTTTTTGGGATTTTGCGCGATCGTCCAGCTCTTGAGTTAAATGAGAACGTCGCGATGAAAATAATTGAACAAAAACGCCTCGTTGACAACGCCATTGTATTCAAACGCGCGTATGCGTCGACTCGACGTGCACGATCAGCTTTAACCATAAATAATAAATTTAAAGGCCACATCAGTTTATCATCTCCTCCAAGGCTACTTTCCGTCCGTTTATTTATTTCTAGCCGTTTCATCAATGCCCATCGTCGTAAATCGGTGAACAGCAGCCCAGTTAAAAACGAAAGAAATAAGAATTAAATAAAACCAACGATTGTAGTTCCGTTCTCCAGTACTCCTCCCAAACAACACCACCACCACAGTCGCAGTTGTACCGTCATAATGGGAATATTGGGAACCCCTGGTGGCCTGGTCGTTATTTTGCCACACCGATACGTCGTGCGTGCGGTGTATACAAAACGACGGCTTCGTAGCTCACGTTTTATTCCCCGTTTTCGGCTACACTGGTCGCGTTCACCATTCCCCACTACGGAAAACGACGAGTCATTGCGCGTGTGCGCATGCTCGGTGGAGCATCCTTCTATTGTGCGTGCAGTGCGAGTCGTCGTCGTCCCGTCCACCATTCACCACCACTGATATCATACGCGTTTCTGATTTGTCGTCATTTCGCCCGACGAGTTCGACGAGTGTTGCGTGGCTCCGTGGTGATATATATATATGTACGTATAGTTTTTTCTCCGCTCCCCGTTCGACGCTACAGTGCATACGTATCGCCGCGTTACTCTCCGCCGTGCGCACTCGCTCCGAACAGTCGTTTCGGCAGGCGGAATCGTCGCAAGTGTCTCTTTTTGTATTGTTTTTGTTTCCATCTAAAATTAAATTTACTCGTCGTCAAGTGAGAACAGTGCAACAAAGTTTTACGTCGGACGGAATTGGCGAACAGGACGATATTGGTGAGTACACGTACGCGCACTGTGCCGCGCTGGCGGACATATTTAATTTTTTCCTCCCGGGTGTCGTCGCCATTTATAACGTTGCGCACGTCTCCGTCGTCACGGTTTTCCGACCTGTAAGTCGTGGGTTTTTCGTGAAAAATTCGACGTTTTTCGGTTGCATCGCCTATCCGACGGGTACTACGGCTACGACGTTGTCGACGGATGAGGCGGTGGCGGTGGTGGCGAGGCCAACTCGCTACGCCATACGTCCTTGACGATCTACATAAATAAATCCATTGTCGCTGCACTCGTCATTGTTGTTTGTTCTGTTTTGGCCCGTAGATTTCTCATGGGTCTCGTCTGTAGATTTTCATGTCTCCGTTCGGTCGGAGCCCGTTTTTTACCATCGGGAAAACAGGAAATTTCTCTTCCGCCCCCCCCCCCCCCCCGACAATCACCGCAGCGCCCACTCTTGGCCACGGGTAGGTTGTTGACGGTGTTAATGTTATGCAAATTAGGTTAAAAGCCCCCGATTCCTACGGATTGCGTAGTCACCGTTGTGTATGTGCGCTATTATCTAGTGTAGAATCGTTTTTGTTTTCGGCGGTTTTCTTGCGGAACCGTTGGCCGTTAACGCACCCCGTTGGCTTTTCTTCGTCCATCGTGAACACCTGTCTATTGCAGTTATATATTATTTTAATAATTATAATATTATTATTACTACTATATTAATTGCAACTAGGAAGTGTGTTTCATCTACCGCCGTGTGGGTATACTCAATTGGCTCGCTCATACTTCCTCTCTCGGAGCCGACGACGCAATTGCTTTGTTGTGTATTTTAAGACGCATCTAAGTCGCTACAGACCACTGCGTTTATATACGTATTCACTCAATTTTTAGTGCTGCGATTATGTTCGGCGGTCTGTTGAACTCAATCCGCCACAACTGTAATAATATTTTCGAACGTTTGCTTTGCACGATTGTGTGGTCCACTAGTCTAATCTCCTCGTCCAACGACAATCGAGTTGTATAAATGTGTGATAGTTTCGGAATAATACGACATTTTTGTTTTTCAATCGATTATATCCCGTTAATGACCTCCGTGTGTGTATGTGTATGTATGGCTAGTGACCAATGACAGATGAAACAAAGATGATTAAACAAAGAACACACGTCGTGCCTGTGCGTGTGGTGTGGTGTGGTAATCTCGTCGATTGCATAAAGGTTATTATGAACGTGCGTAATAAATGGTTATTGTTCCATACCGTCGAGAATAAATTGCACATGCTTATCTTAAGATTTTCGTTCGATGAAATATTCGGCATTTTATTTTACTCGACAATGGTCAGTTTAGACCGGTCTAGTCGTAATTTTATTCATTTCGTAATGATCTGTACAAATTCTTGTACTTCAAAACGTAATATTTAAATAGTATATTAACAACAGATATGCTGGTGGTTCTTCTTTAAAAATAATAATAATAATATATTAAAATATTGTGCTCTGTGTTGGTAGTGTTATGTGTATAGAATACATTATTCTAATGTTATCTCATTGTTCACACAAGCAATATTAGCTATGGATTATTTTTTGTATTTATGTGTAGTTTATGCTTTTCCTATCTATTTAATAAATTTGAATAAAAAAAAAAATGTTTAAAGGGCAATTTATTATTCTTTCAGATAATAATTCTTACAACATCATCAGTGATATTTTGATTGATTTGAACTTTTAAGATAGTAAGTATTAAATTTCTTTTTTACTTTGAAAACGCCCACTGCTAATGTTATTATATTCTCAAAAATACACCATGGAAATAATGATCCCAACTTGTAGAATTAAATAAGTTTGATATTGTAATTTTATTTATAAAGGAAAATGTTTTGCAGTCTGTATTGAACTCAGTTTTTTTATTACATATTTTATTTCATTCTTTGAAATAAATTAAAAAATTTAATGCTGAGTGTAGGGAGTTCCTTTTTTCCAATTAGAAAACAAATTATTAAAATCAGACTATTCCATGAGGCATGATAGTTTTTCTTGTCAAATAATCTTATAATATACTACACAAACTCCTCCCCTCTCCCCTCATTATCATAAATATATATCTAGCAGTACGTTAGTATAAAACTGTAATTAGATATTCTAATAAAATATAATTTTAAAATTTTATAGAATTGATGGACATTTGGAAATTCATCACTGGGAATTCTTTTATGACAAATTAATTTGTTTATCACTAAGTTTTTTTTTAGTAAAAAATTTCTTAAATTATTGGAATAAGTTGTTGCATGGTTGATGTGTAGTAAGTTGATACCTACCAACCATCTTCTAGAAATTATAACCAATAATTAGTTTTCAAATATGTCCTAATTGAATATATATTAATGTAAATTTTCAATATACTATTTTGGACAATGTTATATCTCTATGATTGTGGGCAGAAAATAATATCAATATATAAAAATAGTACAAATGTAAAAATATATTTTTAGATTGTGGGGTTTTAAAGATATGAGGGTGTCCAAACATTATTAAATCTATTAAATATATAACTCGGTACATAGTAAAATAAAAATATTTCATATTATAGTGCTGGATCTATGAAAAATGCTATCAACTTAACTTTAATACATTATCACACTAAATATACAAATAATTTTTAATAAAAAAAAAAAAATATATGTTTTTTGACAATTGATATACTTTGAAGATAAGTATTAATGTTCACTGCCTTTAGTTCTTCTCTATGTAAATGATTTTGAATACTGTAAAATGTCTTATTTTAATTTATTTATTATTTTGTTTGAAATAGTTTGATATTAAATTAAATTTGTTAGGTAGCTTAAAATTCAGAACAGAACTGATAAATATATAAAATATCAATTTGTATATAATGAGTAATAACTAGGGCTAGGGATTTCATTCCCTAAAAAACCTTAAAATATGTATGCATTTATGCCTTTAAAAATTACCAAATATGTTATTAAAATATGCACAAAAAAAATAAATAATAAAATTTTAATTTAGAGTAAAAAAACTTGTCATAATAAATAATTGATTTTCTTCTAACACCCGAGTTCTAGTCAGGAATCACGTGTGAGGTATACCATTAAGGCCATAGCCCATAAATAACAGTGGGAGCGTTCAGCAAGAAAAACAATACTAATGTCTAATTATATATATAAAACCATAAATGTAATATTTCTGGTCTAGGAAATCGATCTAAATTTAAAAGTGATTGTATAAAATATTTAAATAATTATAAAACTACCATTTTCATATTAAAAATGCTCAAATATGCAATTATAATTAAAAAATGGTCAAATATGCAAAATATGCAACTATAAATTTTAAATATGAACTCGTATTACCATGAAACAAATTTCTATATTACTTAACTATGTTTTGAATGATTATTGAAAAACATGCAAACTCCTAGAAGTCCTTAGCCCTAGTAATGACTGTAAGTTTCATGTTTTTTATACCTTAAATATTTTTCATTATTTTAGTATTTAATTATTTCGTATGTGATGTGTATTATGTCAAATCTGTTAATAATATTATTATAAACTATTAATTTATTTGTAAGCACTTATTTCAAAACTCTAAAATTCATTTTTTATTGTAGATTATTTTATGAGTAAATAATATATTATGGTTTTGAAGCATAAAATAGGTTAAGAGAAAAATTAAGTATTAATCACATTTTGTAGAACATTAAGTCTTGTCATCCTAATTAAGACAACTGATATAAAATATTATTTATACATTTGTTTACTATTTTAATTATCAATATCCTAATAGTACTTTTGACCATGTTTTGGTTTTTTGTCATTGATTAATAAATAATTTCCTTAAAATTCAAAAATTAGCCTTATTATATGAAACTGGTACGCTTAGGGGACAAATCACATTTTACAGCAAATGATTTTAATTATTTGTCAATCTGTTAAAATATTTTTATTAGAATTATTTTATATATATTAAAGGTTAAGCATCATTATTTAATGCTATAATTTTGAACTAATTTTTTTGGTGAATCATTTATATTTAGTAATTGGTAGACCATATATTATAAGACTGTACATTTTTTTTTAATCTCTAAGCAAGGTTAAGTAGATTTTTGAAACTTTGAATGGCAGTTGTATTAATTAAAATATAGAATCAACCACACAGTTTTACAGATCTCTAATAAGATTTGTTTTGCTATTTAAACAAAATTCATATTTTTATAAAATCAAAACTCATATAATACAAAAAAAGTTAAATATTTTAGGAATGGTATACTCCATTTTAAACTACTTTTTATGTATATTATATAGGCTTATAAAGTATGTGTTTGCTGTTAGGGTCAAGAAATTTTTTTATTAATTTTAGCCTTTAGGACCTAAATCAATTTGATTTTTCAATACTTAAAATATAGATAATATCTAACAAATTTTTTTTTCAGATGTTCTTCATCCAAGAACCAATGTTTTCGTGACATTCATTTCAAAGTAATAATGCAATATTATTCGTCTGTTTCACAACCTGTGATAAACCAATTAGCAATTACACTTGCGTGACGTTTAAGGTATTTCTTAACTGTTATAATTTTGTATGATTTAAATATTTTATAAATATATTAAAAATCACCAAAGGTATATTATATTTATTTAATTATGTTATTCTTAGATTATATCAAGGATAACATTATAATATATAACTGGTTAATTTTCAATTCAATCAAAGTTTGTTTTATTCTTAAATTATTCATTATTAAATGTATCTATGATGAATAGAGTAAAAATACTAAATTAAGATAATTTCCTAAAAAGAGTAATCTGCTGCACTGCATTTTATTTATCATTAATAAATATGTAAATTATTAAATTTAACATTTCTGTGTTATTGTGTTTTATGAACACTGGATATAGTGAAATGACAATACTATTTATAAACCTTATACTATGTAAAATGTATTCGATATTATACCTATTAGTAATTTAATATTATAATAATTGTTAAAATATATAGTATGTTAATAATATGCATACAGGATAACGGTATTTACTTAAATACAATTTAGAATTGAACACATAATTATACAAGTTATTCAATTTATAATTTATAAATTATAGATATATTAATCGTGACTAGTGATTCCATTTGACTTAAAAATAAAAACGTAGATACTATTTGTTTCATATACTACCATTGGTTAAAGTAGCAACGGACGCGACTGTAGCGCTACTTGTGGTAATTTAATAGTTCACTCTTGGCAGTGGACTTGTTTTTCTAGTGTCTAGAGGTCTGTTTTTTTATAAATTTATTATGATTTCCGCATAAACTATTTGATTTGAATTTATTCTTGGAATTTCATTAAATTAATTTTCATAAATCAATAGTTAATTATCTATATTTTTAATAATTATGTTTAAATATTAAATGATTAATCGATCAAGATGTTGTCAAAATAGGGCCAAATCAAAAATCCATTGTTAATAATCAACAGTCTGCATATTCTCAAGAGTATTATTTGTTTTAATGGAGATATTCTGTATCTTAATAACAATGTTATTAAACTAGTGAGCGAAAAAGCCCATGGAGACAATCACTATTAGTTTTAAATTATTAATTACTTTAAAATTATTTAAGAATATTTTATTGTTTTTATCCTAATAATATATTTATATAGGATATACCAAGACTTTCTTTTTATTGATTATCAACTTGTTTTATAAACAACTTCTCTTATCTACGTGAACAAAAGTCGTATAATATACTATATTTACAATAATTTTGGAATTCCCAAGTAAAAATGATTTTAATAGATAATATCCATGTTTTTACTATTTATCCAGATTTATAATGGTATAGTCAAATTTACTGTAAATACAATACATTCCCGCATTTTTTATTTTACTCAAATCTTAAAAGAGTATAAATTAAAACATTGTGATATGCACTTCAATTTTCGGAAAAAAAAAATCAAAAACTTTGAAACCTTGGTATTGAATGTTTTTTTTTTTTTTACAAATTCTTATTGTATCCACCAAACTTATTACATTAAAAATAGAATTAATAATTATCTTAATTACCATATTCTGCGTGTGATAGACAAAGACAGAAAATAACCACTTTCAATGTTCATGAACGTATAGCAATTACTTAGTAGGACACTGTTACCCATAAACATATATAATGTTATATAAAATATAAATACGTAATAACACCTAAAATGTGTAATACGTTAATCTAGAATTTATCTTTGTTTTGACGTAATCACGTGAACACCGTTAATTAATGTATAGTTTGAGTACTGTATACAAATTGAATATTTGAATAGACTAATCATACTGTTAAGTTTCAAATTTAAAATAAGTTTTTTCTTAATATTGTATCAAAGATAAAACTTTTGATGAGGAGTAATTTATCTTAATTAAAATAAGTAATTCATTTTTATCAACATTAAAATTTTAAAAACTGCGAAGCTTTCTCCTTTTTTCTATATTTTATTCTAAGTTAATTTGTTAAATTATTGTACACGAATTAACTATCATTTGTTTAATGATCAACAAATGTAACTGACAATTTTTTTCAATTTTATATTCATTGGATAACATGTGTATATCGTTTTCGAAGAACATAAGTTTGGCTTTAGAAATATATTTGATTAAATTAAGTTGCGAGTCTAAGGATAATTATAAGTATACTAACGCCAACACCATTTATCTATTTTAATGATATTATTGAATATTTTATAGGTATTGTGGGTAGCGTATTTTAAGCTTAACTCGGGAGGTAGAATTAAAAAATATAATTCACCTTAAATTATTATGAGGGGCTTGTTCCAGTAGCGTACCTAAGGGGGGTCCGGGTCTAGACCCCTTCCCACCCATTGATTAACTGAATGCTTAAGGTTACAATATAGTTGAATTGATATTTTATTTCATAAAGGTATATTATAATAAAATATCGAACTGAATGTACCAGACTGCAGTACATCCTCCGATCACTACTATAATATGCACTGCTTATCAGCTCCCATGTTCGGTTGGCAAAACATACCAAATTATAAGTATTAATAATAAATCACTTAAAAATGTAGACCCCTTTTGAAAAATTTCTGTGTGTACCCCTGGTTAGTTTCACACAAAAAGTTGTAAGTAAATTTTACTAATAGATTTATATTTTTTCCTTATGACATTAGTCTTTCGTGTATACTATATTGATATATAAATCACATAAAATGGATCTTTTATCAGTTTAATTGTTTAAATTATATTTTTAATTTTACATTAATGTTGAGATTTGTTTAATGTGTGTTATATCAATGAATTCATAGTCATGTATGATGTACTAAAAAATGTAATTTACCATTACATAGGTAGTTTAATTCTTTTGTATTTACTAAAACATTGCTTGTTAAGCTTTTAAACTACTAAAATAATATTTAAATCTGATTTTTATCTTCAATTTATCTTTTACTTCAGTGCTTCTTTTCAAACTGGAAGTCTTGGCTTTATTACTGGATGGCCATGAAATTTTATTTGATTAAATACCAATTTTTTTTAGACCTTAAGTGTTTATATATATATATATAAAAAAAATTTGATTAAAGAGCCCTTGACAGTTTTACACAAAATATAGTGGTCTCATGACAAAAAAGTTTGAAAAGCACTGTTTTACTTACTTATTTAATTGCATTATTCGTAAGTTTATTATAATTTATTATATACCTAATACTTTATACTGTAAACATATTTAAACAACATTTAGAACTAGTTTTAATAAAATTATATTTAATAACTAAAAACTAATATGATTATAATATTTAAAATATGATAATAATTGAAATAAATGTATATTCCTTGGTGATTTTCAATCTTATTAAAATTAATGCTAAAGACCAGTAAAATTATTATTTACTTAGTAACTAATGTTTGCTTATTTTTTTTTTTCGTGTAGATAATTTCTGTTGGCTATCAAAAGCCGTTCAGATTATCATTAAACGATAAAAAACTATTTCTTAATACAATGGAGCGAGAGTCCAATTCCATGCAGGCTTTGTGTCGTGGTGGATGTGGCTTCTATGGTAATCCATCTACAGATGGCCTTTGCTCTCTGTGCTATAAAGAAGCACTGAAAAAGAAACAGACACCACCACAAACAGCTCCATCGCCACCTTCGGTCTCCGCTCAGAGTATGATGGAGACTGCTATACCTACCATACCAGTGCTGCAGATTCCACCTGTATCCGTCTCACCAATTTTGCCCACAGACTCAAAAAAAGATGTAAATTTCTATTTACTAAAAATTTGTTTAATCTAGTTAAAACATTTTTATATTTATTATTTTTTTTTTTGTTAAAGATGGACAATGGTCTGGCATGCAGTTCTAATGACAGCAGTCTCATGGATGATGGTAAAAAAGATGATGACGATGATAAAGATAAATCTAAAAAGAAAAACCGATGTGCCATGTGCCGCAAAAAAGTCGGTCTTACAGGTAGAGATAAAGCTTGAAGTTCAATCTATTACATTCCAATATGTATATATTTATATATTGTTTATATATTCATGTATAATATATAAGTATTGGATTTTTTTGTTTCAGTGAATTTATAATTAGTATGGAAACTAAAATAATTAAATAAAAAAATGACAGTTATGAGTTAAATTTGGGGGTTGGTGAGTTAAGAGAGCAGGAGACAAAGCCTCCAGTTGTACGATATAAATACACATCATATCATAAAATTAATTAATTAGTATGATGGCAGATAACTAGATTACTAGGGAAAATAGGTGTCAAGAAAGATCATATTTGTACAGAGAAAACATGCTGAGACCTGATAAAAATCTGTTCTTTTGCTCATCCCATATGATATTCTGCCACTGTGGAACTGATGTCAAAGGCAGGGTGTCATGTGAAGATGTGCATTATCGGCATGTTTTCTTGCTTATTGTAGTAGAATTGATAAATTATTCTTGAAAACAGATTTATTTATCTGGAACGTTTTTTTTTTAAATAAAACAGTTAATTTGCTTACATTTTTACATTTTATAATTTTCTCTGACTATTAGGATTTAAAATATATATATAACATTTCTAATTACTTTTTTCTTTTTTGCTCAACTTATAAATATCTTGATATTTATATAATTTATTTATCTCAGGACTGTCTTTCCTAATAATATCCCTTGAACTAAATTTCTAGTTTTAGAAAATTGTCTGAATTTTATCTTTTAACTTATAAACATCATTGATTTTTTTGTGTAATAGAAGTTTCTTTAAATTTAAATATCAAATATTTCATTACATTCTTTTACTTTCAGGTTTTGAATGCCGTTGTGGTGGCTTGTTTTGCGGCATCCACAGATACTCTGACAAGCATAATTGTTCATTTGACTACAGGGAGCTAGGAGCACAAGAAATCAGGCGCAATAATCCAGTAGTTGTTGGAGAAAAAATTCAGAAAATTTAATACATGAATAATGATTGAATTAATACTTAAAAAGCGCATGAAAATAATGAATGTACCAATAATATAATTCAATATATGCATCTATATATATATATTTAAAATATAAATAAACTTCCACTGTAGTTTTATAACAACATAAAGTGTACATTCTTAATTAAAAGTATAGTAATTTTATTTTTCTAATGCTGATTTTTGAAACCTTACCTGTTTTAAAAATCACAATTGACACATTTTTTTCCATTTGTCAAAGGAGGAGAACATTACAAATTTTTATTAACACTTTTCAAAAAGCGTAGTCGCTGTGCAATAGATAAATGTATATAAATCAATGTTTTTTCTTTTTATTTTCGTGGATTTAGTTGGTTAGTTTTACGAAAAATTTATATCCTTTAAACATTGTAAGATTTTTTTTCACTTGTTAATTTTTTTTTTTTTTTGCTTCCCATAGTTTTCAAGAATTGTTGTAAGTCGTGCTCATCATGTTTTTATATATAGTTGGTTATTAGCTATTTTAGAAATGATTTTATGTTCTTATTCATTATCTTTAATTATAAAAAAATACAAAATATTAATCGTTAAAAAAAAAATCTAATTTAGTTTGAACCACTTAAGTATGAAATTATTTTCGATTTACTTATTATTATTATGATTATTATTATTATATAAAAATATATTTACGCGAACTATATTATATTTTTCTCTGTAATTTAGATGATAATGTTCTGTAAATTAAGAGATTTTTGAGCAAAATAATCTTGTGTAAATATATTTACAAGACATGTTTAGATAGTACACAAAGATTTTTAAGCTATGTAAATAAAGTAATGGATTGAGTGTTGAGATATGTTATCCTCTTTACTTTCTGTAATATTATGCTTTTATTAATATTTTTATGTTAATGATTAAAATACATAATATAATATCAATGTACGAAAAATTAAAAGGATAAAAAAAAAAAAGAAAAATAGATCAGCAATGATTATAATATAATATTAAGCCGTTTTTATTTACTTCAAATGTTATTTTATCAAATACATTAATTCTAAATGTGTATTGTATTGTATTAAGACATTTTCTACTTGAATGCTGAAATACAAAATAAATTAACAAGGCATTATTCTAGTTCCTGGAATTTCTTGCCAAGTGGACAGTGTAAATTTAAAGTGGGGAAAAAATACTTTAAGTCTTCATTATCTTATGATACTATTTAGGTATGGAATTCCTCTATAACATAAAATATGTGCTTTAAATCTTACAATAGATTTTATATATTCATTTGATCAGTAATACATACATGTTATAAGTTAAAGACAATTTTTTTTTTTGTGAAAACTTAAAAATAATTTTAACTTTTGGAATCTGACAAGTAATTTATTGTATATACATTTATATCTCCATAAAATTAATTTTTACAATTCATTAATTTTATAAATTAAATGACTTAACAATATTTCAATTATAAAATAATATAATAGCTACCTTTTTCAGAATGTTCTGCTTTAATATCTTTGGATTTAATTTGTGGTTTAATATCCAGAAGCTGATCCGTTAAGCTTCTGCTGTCGTCTTCGTCATCTTTTCCAAAAATAGGCCATTCTCTATCAGTACAAATTAACCCTCTTTGTTCTAATAGTGTACTTAAATGTTCCAAAACATATGCTCCATCGACAGACAACTCTGAAGTTAAACTACTGGAAGTCTTACAGTCTCTACAAAAGCCATTTACATGTATATTTTTAATAAAATACATTAATATTGATTGCATTGTTAAATTTAATGAATTAGTAATTTAATATGTTTTCACCTAGGAGTGTTTTCTGTTATTTGTTCGACGGAACCTTCATCCAAACTATTAATTTCGACTCTGGGTGACTCTAAGCAAATGTTCCGCATTTCTTGTGCCTTCTCTGTGTAATAATCGGCAAGCTTATATAGCTTATCTAACAGGCCGATGTATTGAGGTGAACTTAAAGCCTGGTCTTGACTAATGTCGCTCAGATTACTATCCAAGCACTTTGATATATAATTTAAAATGTCTTTGTGAAACTCTAAATTGGCTTTGGATATCTCCAAAATACTTTGTTCTAGTTGAATACCAGAGGTTGATGGCATTGAAAGATCATCAATTTCGTTAGGCGACAATTTTGATAAATTACAGACGTATCTCATCAATTCCATATTAATCCAATTGTTATTATTGTTTGATTTACTCTTTTTTTGTTTTTTATCTCTCACATATTCTTCTAACACTTTCAGTGTACTATTATAAAATGAATTTGGAAGTCCAACATAACTAATACTTTCTTTTGACAAATCTTTGAATGTATCACTCTTAGTGTTCATTGATTTTATATCACTTAAAGATGTTTGGTTAGTATAAATTTCTTCGAACAAACGACGTTTCTTCTTTTTAATCCAGTTTAACATTTCATTTATATTCTCCAATGGACGTTGTAGAGGAGATTCATTTTTCTTTTTCCCTTTGTATTGTTGCATACATTGTTTTTGACAAGTACAAGATTGGCCTAATTATGTTTCAAATTCAAAAAGAAAATTAAATAAGTATTACAGTTACATCGTATATGTACAATATAATGATAATCAACCAAATGCTCAGATTCCAAAAGTTAAAGAAACTATTTAAATTTTTTATATGTTTGACAGAATGTAAAAAAAAAATTTGGCTTAAATACTTATTTTTTTTTAAAACTTGATTAACCTTATTTCATTGAACACAGATACATTATTGTAATATGAGTGCATATTGCCTATGTAAAAACACAATAAAAAAAATTACATACTTAAATAATTAAATATATGACATCACTATACTATAAGTTAAAAATTAAAATTGACTAATTTCAACATTTTAGAATATTTAATCATTTCTAAGATAAATATTAATCCAAAATACCATATACATATAGTTATACGAAGTTCTCTTACCAGCACATTTTTTCGTTTTATTGGAAAGTAACTAAAGTATAATAATTGGTACCTTATTATAATCAAAGTTTTACATACACGATTAAAAAAAAAAAAAAGAAAATGTATCCATTAAAGAGAAATTACTAGAAACACAAATTTACCTCAAGGTAGCATAACAAACTTTTTTAAAAATTATATTTAAATAAATAATTATAAAATTTTAATGTAAAGTTAAATATCATAGAAGTTATTAATAATTTCATCAAAATTATCTTGCAAAAATCTAGACAAAAATTAATCATTATTATATGAATAATATCACAGAATTTTAATGTATATGTTTGGATTGGAAAATTGCATCATCAAGTATCTTGTAAATGTAAATCATCTACTTCACACAATGGTTTAACTGTTATAAAAAGATATTGTATCATAGATTCTTTTATTATTCATAGTGTTTTACTGTTGAAGACAAAAAAAAAAGTATTGAATTATTATTCAACTATTGTCTTCATCACAAAAATACACATAAAATAGAATAATATGATACAATATTTATAATATAATTATTATTATTTAAGAATCGTTAATTGACTAATTCATAGTGTAAAATGGGTAACTTTTACTTGTGCAAGTAATTACAGCATTAAATCACAAGGTCTATGAAGATATGCTACCTGTTTTTTGAATTCCTTATAAATAAATAATATACAAGGAAACATATTACTGATACTATTTATCTTTGAATTAATTACACTTTCAAAATAAAATAACTTAATTTTTGTATTTTGTGTTCCTTTTAACATCTGTTTATTTACAGTAATAATGTTGGTTTAAAGTTATTTACAAACATTTAATACCATTATATTACTACCTGTGAAATGCACAACGATTTTTAAAATTACAAACATTAAAAAAATTTGATAACTATACAATAATATTATTAGTAATTATTAATAAAATATTATTAGTAACAACAACATAAAATATTTATTTAATAATTTCCTTTACAACAATGCCAAGTTAAAGATAATTTTTTTTTCATAGAAACCATGAATATAAAAAAAATAAAAGAAGAATTCAGAAAAGTCTCCAGAATACAGCTACAAAGCATAATGTAAAGAAAAATAGTATAATATAAAAATATAAACATTTAAATCATTGTGTAAAATAAATTATTTCTAAAAAGTAAATTCTAATTTAAAAGTAATTGTTATACATTTACTAAATATTCAGGATAAAAAAAATTATAATTTTAAATTTAATAAGTAATGATTTTAAATATGAATAAAAAACTATAATATAAAAACCTAACCTAAGCAAGTAGTTTCAACTGAGAGAATTGTCATTTGAGTAAGTAATATTTTAAAACATATAATGCAATTAAATCAAAAGTTAATAATAATTAAAAATGTTAATGATCAAATAAAAATAATTATTATTAATTGGTTAGTATGTTTAGAAATTAATTTAAGTCCTACAAATTAACTTTTAAATTGATAAAAAAATATTGAAATAATTACCTTTAAATTTTTTTTAAACTATCAGTAATTTAAAATTATGTATCACATATCATGTGATTTATATGGGTGTATATCTAAAAGTTGGTCAGTTACACTTCTATCACCATCATCATGTTTGAACACAGGCCATTCTTTGTCAGAATTAATAATCCCTTTTTTTTGTAATAGTTTATTTAAATTTGCTAATATATATTCTTCATCAACTGATGAGTCTGAAGATAAATTGATAGAACTATTTCTAAAAACATAATTTAAAATTATTGATTACTAAGTAATAGTAATTAAATAATAATTACTCACTCTTTAATAGTATCAGAATCAGTCTTATGAGTTTTTGCATTTAATGTATCACTTAAAATTTGAGAACTTTCATTACAAATATTTTTCATTTCATGGGTTTTTTCTAAATAATAATCTGTTAACTGTTGTAGTCTATTTAATAATTTTATATTTTTGGGTGAAGTAAACTCTGTATCTTGATTTATGTCAGATATATCTGAATTTAAGCATTTTGATATACAGTTCAACATTTTGCAGTAAAAATCTCTTTCTGAATGCTGTAAAATACTATCCTCCAATTTAACGCTTGAACAAGACGAAATTGACAAATTATCTACATCTGAAGGTGACATTTTTAATAGTGTATTTATGTATGTCATTAGATTTGAATTTATTGACACATGGCTTTTGAAATCAAGACTTTTAATTTTTTTTTTTGATACTTGTTCTTTTAAGATATCAAGTTGATTATCGTAAAAGGAATCTGGAAGTTGAGCATAATTTACTGGAATTTCTTTATGTGAATTACCACCAGCACAACATCTTTTAAGTATAGGTGAACTTTTAAAACTTGTAGGAACCGTCTTCATTTTTTTAATATCAGCATCAGATGATTTTACACTAGTACCAGCAGTTATTTCTTTTACAAGAAGTTGTTTTTTGTTTTTTATTCGTTGCAATGTATTATTTATATTTTGCAAAGGTTTTCCAGAAGACATTTTTTCTTTATGATTCAACTTATTACTTGGTTGTTGATTCTTTTTTTTGTTTTCTTTTTCAAAACGAATAGTTTTATTTGTAGGTTGCTCATAATTTGTACTGGTTGATGTAGATGATGATATACATATAGATGTCGATGTACTTGACTCATTAAGTCTTATTTCTAAAATATAAAAAACAACAACATATTTAAATACATTAACTTAATCAAAGAACCTAGGTTATTGTAATGGATATGTTAAATTTGAAGTTAACTAATTTCAATCATACTATTTAATTATAATAAGTAAAGAAGATGGGTAATAGGCAGATATATATTTCTATTTATAGTTTATTGTATATTATATAAGACCATACCACTTGGAATTTTTTTTTTGGAAAAACAACTATTGTCAAAAACTTACTTAACATGTTAGTCCAAGCAAAATATAAGCTAAGCGTTTGATAGAATTATTAAGTGATACTTTCTAAAGCACAGCTCTTGGGGCATATTACTTATACCCTTTGCTGATGCCATCCATAGGGTCCTAGTTAGGGCAAATGTATAAAAATTACAATGCACAAATTTTTACAACTGGTTTCAGAACAAATTATTTTTTGAACAACTATTAATTTGCGCAAAAATTACAAACAAAATATATTTTCGATATTAAAATGTCTATGAAAAAATCTCTTTGTAGTAAGATGTTCATAATTTGGTTTTTCATGTCTCAGGGAAGATTAAAATTTGAATTAGGTAAACTGTATTATGCATAAACATAATCAAAATATAATCCATCAGGTATAAAGGCTATAGCTATTTAATTTACAAAATTAATACTTTTTTTTTTCGTGGAAAATATATAGTAAAACAAGAAAAATATGAATTATAAGTTCAAACAAATCGTTAATTATATAATATTTTATACATAAACAAGTTTTGAGTTTCAAATATGAAATTTTAAAATGTGTCATAATTATAGTTATATTACTTACCAGTTATCTGTTTTTTAATTTCATTTGACTTGATCCTTCCATTTGATAATTGTTTTTTTCTATTAATTTCTTTTGGTTGAGTTTTTTCTTGAGACTCTAAATGTACATTATTTTGACATGTTATAGGCACTTCCTTAAAATGCAAATAAGAAATAATTAAACATGTTGTATATTTATGTATATTAATATATAGCATATAATATATATAATAATATATAACATACTTTCAAGCTATTTGGAAATAATTTGTTTCTTATATTTTGTTCTTCAGCAGATAATTTCTTTAACTCTAAAATTAATGTTTCATAAGTTTTCATATCTGTTTCTAACTTTGAGAATTTGGATACGTCATTTATATTTTCTTTATTTTCATTGTATGTGGTTGACTGTGGTAATTTTTTAGTTTGATTTTCTTTAGAACTAATAACCATTGACCAAGGTTTTGATGGTTTCTACACCAAAATAATTTTAATTAGTAAGTTTATAAAATAAAATTAAGTATTTAGTTATTTTCATTACTCTAATAAAATTTTGATTCATAATATTTGATTCATTCAAAGTTACTTGACTTGGAATTAAGAAACATTCATTGTGTCCTTTGATATTATATTTGTGAGTACTATCATCATCACTGTAATCAATTAAAAAAAATTAATAATTACGTAGAACTACAATATGTTTATTAGGTAGATCAATATTTAGTATTTACACATTTTGTACACTTGTTATTAGTTTTGACCGTATTTTTTCAACAGTTTTATTGAAATGTATTCTTCTATCTCTCATGTCTTTGTCCATCTGTTGTTTTTCTTGGATCTGTTGTTGTCGTTTTTCTGCTTCAGCACCCCTTGATATTGCTTTACAACGGTCTATCAATCGTTTCTCGGCTAATACTACACTTGGATTGTTCTAAACGTTATATGAAAAAATAAGATACTATCTCATTAAAATTTATAATTTAATATTTATCTTACTTGAGCTGATGCAACAGAGTAACCATTACCAACATCTTGTATTAAATAATTAAAATCACTTTTCAACTTGTTCAGTGCAAGCGATTTAAATTTATGTTCTGTTATATTTCTTGCTGTCTCACAACGTTCCTGCTGAATTTCAACAGCTCCATGGACACGATCGCGTATTGTTTTAGCTAATGCTTTAGATTGGTCTCTAACCTGTCATTAATTATTACGTGTTTATTGATTATTCAATAAGAATTAACATTGACGTTATATGATTATCGTGTATATATTTACCTGGGTTAGTCGTATTTTTCTTCTCCTTTCCCAGTCAGCGCGATGCACACTATTAATGTCCATTGTTCAATAAACGAACTTACAACATGTACAAGACCAATAAAAATAAAGATAAGATGAATTGATGTACAAATAAAGATTAACAACGAGTTACCGTTTACAATAAAGTTAATTTTAAACTTTTTTTGGAAAAACGGTTATGTAACAAAAATAATATAACGGTATTAGTATTTAGTACACTCAATATTATATTATTTATTATTCCGTGGTCCGCTATTCAAGTTAAATATCTACAAAACATGGGCATTCAACTAATTATTTGTATTTCACGTTTCCGTGATTAACAGTATAAACACTGTGACTATAAACTATGGATTAATTATCATACTTTATAATATGGTTGTATTTAGAAGTCTGCAGTATGCGTAAATTAGCAAAGCCATTGCTCTCATTGACGGTTAATGTAAATACTAAATACTGATTACTGAATATTGAATATTAAATGGCGTGGACTAAGATAAGATAGTATGGACTGGAAACGATAATCACATCACCGGGCTGCTTGTGGTATTGGTATGACAGGGAAAAAGTACGAACATGATTCGCGCTCTATCTATGTTCATATTAATGAACTATTCATTAACATATCATTTATGAACTTTCCCTCCAATTTATAAATGTCAGTAATTACTAATTAGTTAATGAATGAATACATAAAAAATAATTAGTTCATGTGCTAAAATATAGTAGTTCAATCATAAAATATCACTTATAGCATATTTAACTGGTATATTAAATCACATGATACATACATTATTCATGCGTAAATGTTCAATTGTTGGATGTAAAAGTGGAAAAAAGAATAAAGTACATTATTCAAAGTGAATATTGAATAATTATAATAAAATAGCTTGGGAATCAGCAATAAATAATATTATAAGCAATAAATTCAAGTCCTTAATGTATATTTGTTCTGAACATTTTTTACTTGACGACATTTTTTTTTTTAAATTTAATTCTTTATTTAGCAATCTGTTACAATCTAGAACAATAAGTTTATTGCTTAATTGATAAAATAATATTATAACAGGAATGACGGAGTGAAGAAACCTCCCAATGGAGGTACTTCGTAACCTGATGATATTATCACCAATTATTCAATACCATCTGACGTTGCTGAAGTATGTAAAATATAAATTATAATATACAACTGTAATAAAGTGAAATAATAAATACAATTGTAAATAATATTTAATTATCCAATACAATGTTCATACATTAAATTTATTTTTTAAAAGAGATTTGTTAAAAGACAAATATGTGAGTTAAAAAAAGGAACTATTCCATCTATATTTGAACAAATAAATACATGCAAACCTTTACCAACAGTTGAGTCATTTAGAAAAGAATGTTTCCAATAAAAGTACCTATTATTGATATTTGACTTGTTTTATTTTTACAATATAGCAAACATTAAATAATATTTTTTATAATTTAAGGCTGCCTTACTGTAACTTTAAAAATAAATATTGATTTTGTTAATCTTACAGTAATACATATGTCAAGCAAACAAATTTGTTTAGTGGGGCTTACAAGTAATAATTTTAATAATAAATAGTAACTAAATAACCTTACTTGATTTACCTACCGTGAAAATTAAATTCCATATTATATGGTTTTATTTAAAAAAATCCATAATAGGATTTGTTCCCATATATTTACTGACTCGATGAGGTTTTATTTACAGAAACCAATGTTTTTCAATGAATTAGTAAAATCATTGAGTTTACTAATTGGATGGTCAATTTATATAGATGGACAAATTGTAATATTGTATAAGCCTGTTTATAAAATTAATCAACTTGTCAGTTGTCATTGAAAAACAAATTAAACTTTTATGTTTATGTTTTGATAAAGTCTGCAAGTTTATGATTGATTCCACTAACTTACTCAAAAAATACTAAAAACTTATCTGAAGTAATTGATTCATTTAATTACAAACATGTTTTCCTAGTAATGAACTCCATGTATTTTATATTTTTATTATATTATTAATATTATTAGAACATTCAATTTTTAACAATGATTTTCAAATTTTATTTATCTAGAAATATCTATTACAAAAGCAATAAATAATAATGGGATTTGGCATCATAAGGACAAAAGAATGCTCTTTATTATTAAATAAAAAAAAAAAAATACCAAAAATGTGACTATTTATTTTCAATATTTAAAAAATATAAGAAAAGATCAATATTGATAAATTCAAAACAAATTGGACCAACATTAACTTTTATTCGTCGTTGCTTTTTAAATAATACTTTGAATAAAAAGAAAAATATTAAAAAATTAAATTCCCGGTAAATTTATTTTATAAACCATTAATTAATTATTGTATTATGTATTACCTTGTAAATATTAGTGTGACACTAATAAATTAATATAAATATACAACTTTTTACACTACTACAAATTCTAAAATCTAATAATTGTAAGTAATTTTTAATTTCAATTAATCTATACCTTGTACACGCACCATAAGAACTTATTTGTCTCTCATTAATACTCAATGTGGATTTGATGAAAACAATTTTTTGTTATTTCTTTTTAAATAACAGTAGCAATGTCAAAAAAAGAAGAAAACCATAGTGTTTTAGTTTTTGATGAGATATTCCTGTGTAAAAGTTTGCATGTGAATTCTCAAACACTAACATAGATACTCTGGTTTAGAAAATTTTGGTGAGGAAATTATTGAAAGTTCAGGGTTAAAAGCCAACCATGGTTTGGTTTTATTTATCAAAGTCTTTCAGTAAACTTCACACAGCCAATTTATGTAACAACTAATTTCTTCCAAGTGTGGATTATTTCATAAATATAAACTTCAAGACGTTGATGCTTTAAGTATTGATCTTCAGGTTAAAAAATTTCAAAAAAACTTTTCCACTCCTATAATTATGTATAAAACCCAAGGAACTGAGTATTTTCTATTAGATATCAACAATTGTGTTAATTATATTGACTAAAATATAAAAGGAAGTCCTTAAAAAATTTGGCAACAAAAAATTATGTATTGATTATGTTTTGATACTAATCAATATAATTTTAATCTTACCACAATTGAAGTAATTGATGAAAGTTGATGAAGGATATTTGGCTAAATATGTTTATTTAAACGGGGAAAAAAATCAATGACTTGATGTATTACTCTGGTACTTGTTAAAATCAATAAGATACAAGAATTTTGAGACTTGTTAAGCTGTGCAATGGTGGAAAAGTTACACATTATGTTAACGTTATTAACAATCGTCATCGTTCTGCAGCACAAATTCATAGTTCCAATAGGCAATATTTATAAAACATCTACAATTACTTGGACTATGAAATCAGAATCATTAGAAGAGGAATATTTAGTAAAGAAATGTGAACCATGTACATGTAAGGTTATTTGTGTTGCATGTAAAATCTGTGTACACTTATTCTAGTGTATATGTTATGATTATACAATTAAATACAATTAAAAATAATATGTGTAAGCATATCCATGCTATAAAAATAAATACGAGTGATAATTAAGAAGGCCAAATTAACGTTCAAACTTGTACCATTAACCCAATGAAAAATTACTGCTCTATCTACAGAGAGTATTGCAAACAAAATATAACACTTTTTAATTTATCATTAGACATAAATTTAAAACTATTATGTAAACAAGAGAGTAATGCTGTTATTTTATTAAATGAAAATCGAGAACTAGCCAATAAAAATATTGTAAAGCAGTTAAGTACGATTTTTTTCAACAAAGAAACCAAGATTAAAAATACTTGAGGAATAGCGAAAAGACCAACATCAAATTTAAGACAGCAAATAATAGATGACTTAAATGGCAAAGATTAGTGTCTTTAAGTCCATGTAGATTCACATTTTGACCATGCATATGAACAATAAGTCATTAACTTAATTAACTTGACTTGTAATTAAAATAACTTTTGCATATTTATTTTTATTACAATTTTTATAAACTAACCTAACTTATATATTTATTTTTAATATTTTAATTATTTGTATACGAATTATAATACAACTACGTCAACAACACCTATATTTTACTGTCTAATGTATTCGCTGACAATTATTTTATCATGATTTTGTATCTCTTTATTGCAGATTAAGATAAGTTAAACAAAACAACTATGAATTAAAAATTTAAGATTAACCACAAACATAATATAGAAAATCACACTTTTAGTTTTTAATTATTAAATTTATAAATTATAATAAATTTATTATGGTAATTTTAAGACGATTTAATATTAATTGATAAGAAATACGATATGATAATTGATAAGATATTTGCTCTTGTGTTGTCTCTAGACCATAATTCGCGCTCCCTAGTTAACCGCCAACGAACTATTGCCCATGCTCTTTATTAGGTTTGATCGTGTCTCTTAAATCTTAATCACTAAGAACTAAGAAGTATAATATTATATTACCAAAATACTGACCGGCGGCCGGCTAGTTGAGTTCTACCTATTGTTGTTTGTGACAATATAAACTATATTCGTAATACGGCTGGAAACTCATGGTCGCTTATTACACAACTTTTAATTAAAACATGTCCAAAATATTAGCAACACTAAGGAAAAACAACTTGCGTTACTGTACACGGGGAGTCGAGTGGTTTAGTAGTATTGTTAATAAGAGTATTACGTTGGACGAAGATTTGGTTAAACGTCTGGAAACTGTGTCTCATGTCGGATTTTCAAAACAATGCGGTTTTGAAGTTTTAAACGCATCAGTTAAATTTGCTGATCGTATCACCAAAATTGATACTTCCAAGGTACCGCCACTCATCACTGTCTTGGAGAATTGGTATGTAATGACATAGGTAGTAATTTAATCAATGCAATATTAAAATTAAGTAAAAATGTATCACAATCAGGAAGGGTTAGTACTTAGGTTGTTACCCTCCTAAAAATATTTATTTTTTATGATGGTTAACCAAAGTGCCAAAATTCCAGGTCTTACTAGCTTAGTATTTCATTTGAGTTATTAAATTTAGAACTGAATTTTTCTAAAGTACCATATTATGAATACGGCAGTCTTAGTAAAAATATATATTAAATGTTCATTATAATTTATGTAGTAGCTAATATTGTTACTTCTTATTTTATTAATTAATATTGATTACTTATAATTTATACTTAAGTACTTTTTAATAAACTATAAAAAATTATGTACCTATATTTAATATGCCTCATATTATATTTGATTGAAATATAATTTGTATTACTTTTATAATTATATATAGGTATCTACTATTTTTACTATAAAATATTAATATAGTAGAATCTCGGTAATCCAACACATATCAGACCACGCTACTGCCGGATCGAATTAACAAAAACGTCAGATTAGTGGAGAGTTCACAAAAAAATGCATTTTTACTTATTGAATTTTACATTTTTACTCGTATTAAAAAATGATTTAAAAATCTTTTAGGTTGAGAGCAGTTTTCTTTTTGTTTATTAGGATTTAATCTGTTATTATTTAGTTTTATCTAACGGTTTATCGTTTACAATAGTAAATTTATATATAAATACATATTGGTACATATAGGTTAATACAGCCGGATTACTGGATGTATCGGATTATCAAACGGCCCAATTACCGAGATTCTACTGTATTAGTTATGATATTTATTTTTTGTATCTTTGGATTTTAAAGCTTATATTGTTTTTAAATTTTAAATTATCAACATTTGAAATGTATACTGTTATGATTTCTGACAAATGAAGATTGTGCATTAAATATTGATATACAGAAGTTTATATCTTGATATAACCGTGTTTTCCAAGTTGATATGTTCAGACAACCGATGTAGAAGTATAGATGCTATATTACTATTCATATACAAGAACACTTCTTATATTTATGAGTTAATGACCAACTGATGATCTCACAATTAATGTTGTTTTATCACGGAAGCACATAAGACATATCAAAAATGTATGGTTAGCCATTCACTTTTAGTTTTCTTATTGAAGTAAATTGACTTATTGTTAAATTTACAGGTGACATTATCATCTGTGTTTTTTTTTTTCAGAGTATTTATTTAATATTCTAATTTTCAAGTGATCTCTATATTATTAAGTATGTACATTTAATATATGTATATAGTAAAAATAAATAACTATTCATACAAGTTTATGTATTATAAGTAATGTTTGTGTTAGAGTTAACAGTAATAGAATGAAAGTAAGATTAGCACCCGGTAGTACCACACTAACACCTTATGGCTGATAAGTCAATTGGGCAAGGTTAGTGTATTATTAACTTAGTCAACATATTATTAGCTCTATATTAAGATTTTAAAAGATATAGTGTAAGAGAAAAAAGTTTAAAAAGTAAAGTATATTTTTTTGCTAATTTTCTGATTTAACCTTTGAATTTTGAGGTCATTATGGAGATTATTGTATGTTACAATGTTACATACCATAGATTTGACAATGGCTTAAACACTTGAAGCATTCTAAGGTTTAACAGTTTAGCAGAACCCATACTTAAATTTCATTTCATGAGACTGATCTTATTATAGCTTTGTAGAATATAAGTTTGCAGATGGTTGATTATTTGGATAGGATAAGACGACCAAGTTGGTGGAGTTGGAATTAACTAATTTTTGTTTAAATTTGAGGTGAAAATCTCAGATTTAGTGCTTGTTAGGCTTGGTGTTTTACATTGAATACAGTAGAAATAATATTTTTTTTTAATTTTATTGGCTAACATACCCTTATGTATAAAGAGAAAGTAATAAATGAAAACTTAATCTTGTTAATTATTATCTTTAAGACAAATATTAGGTCTTTAGAATCCATTATTATTGTATCATTGGCTTATATACCAACAGATTAAAATGTAATTTAAGGGTATTGTGGGCAAATATTGAATAAAAAAAAGGTACAATGTTTCTATTTTGAGAACTTCTAGACAGTATAGGAATCAGTATAGATCTCAAATAGCAACAGTTGTTAATATTAACTTCAAATACACAGTTTTTTTGTAAGATTTTAAAAGGAGATAATATGGTGCCGGGAAAATTTTTTTCTCTTAAATAAGAAGTCCCTTTTAACATACAAAATCAAAGATCTGTGTGATATCTAGAAGAACAGTTGCACTATAAAATTTGTTTTTTATGCTTAAGGATAAGTACATAAACATATTACACGTGTCTATAATTTTTATTTTATATTTTTAAAAGAACTATTTTTTATGTAAAATACAGTAGTCACTCGATAATTCGAAATTCAGGAGACCAAGTTAAAAATTCGATTTATTGAGGTTTTTGATTTACCGAATGTTTGAATAATTGAGGGAAAATAATTAATTTGAATTAAAGAGAGGTGAAAAATTATTGTATGTATGTACATATTACATTTATTTTGACATCTATTTGTTATACAAAATATACATACATACATAATATTATATTTTATAATTATTAATTGATATTTATTTATTTTATTATTATATTTTACATATTAAAGAAATCTGTTTTTTTTTTTGTGATAAATTGCAGGCCAGTGGCCACAATTTGGTCCATAGCGTTGTCTAACTTATTGATAGCATTGAAAATTGTATCGCATCTTTTTTTGTTCATTTCAGATTACTCAAAAAATTGACGTAATCCTGACAAAAGTTTAGATTAGGTAGGTAAGGTACGATAACGTTTATTAACTACGATAATATTAAACCACCAATGTTATAACTTATAAGTTTTATTACGATTATGTCAAATAGATTGTACGTTATCTTCATATGTATGCACATTGTACATGCATATGTACTTACATATAATCGCGTTTAAGGAAATTCGAATTATAGAGGTTTATGGAATAAAAATTCAAATTGTAGAGTGTGTCCCACCGTCAGACATTTAGAATTATTGAGGGGACCGGAATACATGCATTTTCTTCTAATTATAGAGGTTTTCTCAGGGGACTTAGCGTTTAGTTCGATTTATGAAGTTTTTCGAATTAACGAGTGACTACTGTATATTGGTTAAAATTCATTTAACAGAGATTATATTGTTACCTTTAAATTGTATAATAAGTTGATTAATTAATGTTTGAAATTTAACATAAGTAAAATTAAACATGAACTATTTTATTTAAATTTAGTTTTTTAGGATTAACAAATTTAAGTTAAGTGTCCTTAATTTAAAGTTATAAATATTTTATTTTATTTATTATTTTAAAATAAAATCTTTCTATAGAATTAATTATTAAGCAATTTCAAATAATTAAGTTCTTTCATTAAAAAGAAATATTTAAACAATTTAAATACAATTAGTAGGTATCTATAATTTATTCACCACAAAGTAATTATTATAAGAGAATTTTTTTTTAATGTAGATCCTGAGTTCAAATATGGCAAAAAATAACAAAAATACTACCAAACATAAAGCAAAAACATCAAATAAAAAATGTATCTGTATGTCGAAGAATAAACCAGAAGAACCAATTAAAAAAAAAGTTGGTAAAAATAATGAAACAAATAATGATATTGTACTTCAGTTAATGACAAAATATCCAGAACTAAATGAAACATTTGAATATATTTTATATTCTAACAAGTATAAACATACATTAACTGATGTTTTTAATATTATGAAAATGTTATTTTCTAAATTGGAAGAATTGCAAAAATGTGATGTTGACCTTAAAAATACTTTGGAAAATATTAACCTTAATAATAAGATTAGAGGCTTAATCCAAAGTACTGCAATTAATTTATCTCATGTTGTAGAACAATTAGATGTAAATGAATCTAAATTCTTAAACTTTGCAAGTAATTTTATTCCACCAATTATAACTGATAATCAAAATGTTACTGTTACTGATAATTTAGTATCTAGTTATGCTGGTATACCTATAGTACCAGAAGACCCTCCTATAGTATCAGAAGACCCAACTATAGTATCAGAAAACCCACCTATAGTATCAGAAGACCCACCTATAGTATCAGAAGATCCCCCTATAGTTTCCAGTTTACAAGCTTGTAGTAGTAATTCGTTAAATCAAAAAATAAAAACTGAAAATAATAGTGACCCACACATGACAAATATATTTGGTGAAAATTACACTATAGTATTGTCATCAGATGATGAGTATGAAGAATATGATGATTATAATGACTGCAAGAAACAAAATTCTACAAAAAATAAACCTATAAATAATGATCAAGACTTAGTAAGTTATGTAATAGGACCAGACATTAAATCTATATTAACTCATGATATAACTTCACCATCTAAACAAAACAGTCAAGATATTACTATTTCGAAATCTCCATCGCAACTTATCACACCTGTACAAAAAAATAGAAAGGTTAAGCCAAAGGTTTCTGATGAAGCTGTAGAAGAAGCTAGAAAAGCTGACTTTAATTTAAGAAAACGGCAGATTGCTCGAAATACTGAAATGATGAATGTTATTAAAGAATTACATATAAAGCCACATGATATAGTGTTAGAATTTGATATTGTTAAAAAAAAACCAATTGTAAAAGTCTGTAAAGAATTAGCTAAAATCTTAAAAATCCATCAGGTGGAAGGTATTCATTTTTTATGGAATACAGTTTTTGAAACAGTAGAAAAAACAAATATCACTGAAGGGACAGGGTGTATTTTAGCTCATCGAATGGGTATTGGTAAAACATTGCAAATTATAACTATAATATACACTATATTATCACATAGCCAAATAAATATAAAAACTTTTTTGATTATTTGTCCACCTGGATTGATGAATAATTGGATGGATGAAATATACAAATGGTTAAAAGATATTGATATAAATGAAGTTGTCAAAGTTTATGATTTGCCTAAGTCACAGAAACTATACAATATATCGAACATAGCTACATGGAAATCTAGAGGTGGTATTCTCATTCTTAGTTATGAGAACTTTAAAAGTTTGGTAAATTGTAAACAAAGTGATTTACGTGAAGCATTCTACCACACTTTGATTAATCCTGGACCAGATGTAGTTATTCTAGATGAAGGACACTACATTAAAAACACCCAAACTAAACTATTAAAAAGTTTAACACAAATCAGAACCAAAAGAAGAATAATATTAACAGGAACTCCTATGCAAAATTCTCTTAAAGAATATCATGCATTGGTGGAGTTTGTCAAACCTAACATATTAGGAAATCTTACAGATTTTGTTACAACATTTATCAAACCAATTGATGCTGGCCAATTTTTAGACTCAAGTGATGAAGATGTTAAAATAATGAAGCAACGTACATTCATTTTACATAAACTATTACAAAATACTGTCCATCGCATTGATGATAAAACCCTAAAACCTTTATTTACAAAAAAAATAGAATATACAATAGAAGTTAATTTAACCAAGTTCCAATGTGAATTATATGAAAAGTTCTTGCATTACAATAAAACATCTAATGATAATTGTAATGTATTTTTATGTTCACATGTGTTAACATTAATAACTTTACATCCATTAACACTGTTCAGATTGAAACATTTTAATAATAATAAACATCCAGAATTGGGAACTGCAGTTGGTGTAAATTTATCAAAAGACTTGTCATGGATTGAAAGTTATGGAGATGATCCAAGATTTTTTGAAGCTAAACAAAGCAATAAAATCACATATGTCTTAGATACAATTAATGAATGTTCTAAAAGAAATGAAAAAATACTTTGTTTTTTAAAATCTCCATTGGCGTTAGATGCCTTGGAACATTTTTTAAAACAAGAGAAGAAATGGGTTTTAGGAGAAGATTATCTCAGAATGGATGGTAAAACCCCATTATCTATACGAAATCAAATGTGTGAAGCTTTTAATAACCCTGAAAATACTGCTAAAGTTTTTCTTTTAACTTTGGGTACTGGTCTTCTTGGATATAATATGGTTGGTGCTAATAGAGTATTATTACTCAGTACATCATGGAATCCAAGTAATGACTTACAAGCCATTTATAGATGTTTAAGATTTGGTCAGAAAAAAACTGTTTATGTAAACAGATTGTTAGCTAAAGGAACTGTTGAACCAAAAGCATATTACCGGCAAATTTCTAAACTAGGAACGGCTAGCAGTGTTATAGATTTACAACATATGAGACGAAAAGTATCGTATGATCAAACTAATGACTTATTTACATTTGATTCAACAAAAAATTTTAATCAGCTACTTCCTAACACAAAGGATCCTGTATTAAACCAGATTATCATTTACAATATTGAATCTATTAGTGATTTTAAAGAACATGATTCTATGCTTGTTGAGTCTGTCGAAGAACAATTGTCCATTGAAGAACGTAAAGCTCTTTGGTTATCATTTATAAACAATCAATTGCCAACTAAAAGTTTGATTAAACCAAAACCACTTGCAAAGTTATTGAATACTCATAAACTTAAAACAAATAATAAAACAAGTGAGTTTTCTGGCTCTGTCAAAATCATCCCATCTAAAGAGCCTCAAGTTCCTAATTCTAATGAAAGTCAAACCTCTAGAATGCATACAAATTTCAACAGTGCCAAGCAATCAAAAACACCTAAAAGAAAACGTGAAACATTAGCAATTACTGAAAAACCAGCAAACAATTCAACAAATACAAATGCACAATTGAAAATTCCTAAATTGTTTGAAAAATCTGACCGCTACCAAAATGTTGAACCTATACAAAATCAGTTCAAAAATTTTCAACAAAAAACTTTTAATCACCATAAGAGGAACAAAGCATCGAATTTTCGATTTTCAAAATTATCTCCTCATTCATCTATGTCAATAGATTTTAGAAATCAACCAAATTCAAATTTAAGAAACCAATCAAACCAAAATTCATATAGTATAAACCGAAATTGGTATCCTAATAATCAAAAAATAACTGAAAATAATATTTCAAATCGATCTGGTATGTCTAGATGAATAAATCAAATTATTTTTTTTGATTAAATAAATTATTATTCTACAAAAGAAATTTTATTTAATAAAATTGTAATACTTGTATTATTTGTACTATACAAATAATATAGTTTTAATATTGTTAAGTAGTTATTTTTAGATTCCAAATATTTTGGTAAGCCAAAATTTTAATCATTAACATGTATTACTGTCTTTATATTTTTTTTGTAAAAATTATATTTCTGTACATTGAATATTAGTTGTAAGATTTAAATATTTTATATTATTTACTGTACATGATGTGGCAAATAAAGAATAATAATAAAATATACATACTACCTATTCATTGTTAATTACTCAATATTAGTCTATCCTTTAATAAATAAATAAAAAAAAAATTATCATAATTTTTCTTTACTTTTGTTTTTTAGTAAGAGTTATATTTAGTGGCCTAGTGTAGCATGGAGGTTGGCCTCAGTCACTAATGTGTTCTGAGGTCAAGTATAGGCTGGTATCGCTAGCTCTTGGATAGATGACCTCCTGATTTTTTAGTGATAAATCCATGATGCCCACACATACACAACACCTGTTCCAACCTTACAAACTCTACAAAAAAAACCTACTGTATCTTTCTACAGCTGTTTCCAGGCTTAAAAAGATCAATAAAAAATATATATATTTTAATACATTATTGACATTAATTAATTAAATTATTTTGAATCTGTATTCCAAATTTTATTAAAAAATAATAATAATAATTTTCAGGGACACTGGTTTAAGAAAAGATATATCTTCGGATAAAATCACAAGAAGAGAAATTATGCGTAATGCATTAGTTGTGGAAGAAGATTATTTTGTTGCTCCCATAAATCAAGTCTAATAAAAATTATAATTTAATAGAAATATTTATTAATTTAACTCATAGCTATATTTTATCAAAATTACTTTTTCAATTTTAAGACTTCAAAATGAGTCTACTCAACAGAATATTACCTATGTGCAAAGCTTATGCATATGTGGAACCAATAATTATCAATAATACTATTGACCATTTAAAATATGGTGCTATAGGTGAACTATTATGTCAAAATATCAGAAATGAATGGTTGTATAGCAATGTAACCAGTAGAGATGAAAGTGTATTTCAATTTTGTAATGCACAGAAAAAATACAACAATGATATTTTAAGTAAGATAAATGTATAACACTAACTTATATTTAATTGTTTTAATAATTCTTTCGGGATTTTTTGGAATGACAACAATTACAACTATTTAATATTTTATTATTATTATTATTATTACATTGGTTTTTTTCTAAGGTCTTAAAGATCCATTTATGAATGCTAAACAGTTTTGCAATAACCAATTACCATTCAGTTTTGCTGATTCTAGAAGTATCTGTGAACATTCAGATTCCAAGGATTCCAGCGTTGAAGATAGAAAATGTTTTAGGTAATATACAATATACTTATATATCTAAAACTTCAGAAGCAATTTATTAGAATAAATGTTGAGTGAAAATGAAAAATATTAATCATACCGAAGCATAATTACAGAAAATAAATGTTAATCATAGCTACTTTAGGAAATAGGCATAGGTATTACTGTTTCTGTTATAATTATAAAAGTAGTACTATTGTACCATCAATATTAAACAGTCGTCAAATAGCACAGCACAATATTAATATCACGTTAACATACAAAATTGTTGATTTTTCATGTATCATTGTTAAATTGTTACTAAAAATTTTAAAACTGAAAGAAAATGTGGTATCCAATCGATTGCCTGCAGTTATAAAGATAGATGACAAATATGTAATCGAGTTAATTTTAATAATATATATTTTTCAGTAAAGTGAAGACGAGTAAAATATCTTTTCTTAAAATAGTTTGTATAAAATGGAACTTTTTAATGTAGTTGACCATAAGAATAGATTATATAGATTATTTTATCATAAAAAAAATAAAGATTTAAAACATGTAATTAGTTAGTTTTTAATAGATCTACAAATTTAGAAGAAAAATTTGCTCAAACACTGTAAAGTCAACCGAGAAAGATATTGGTGAGCACTGATTTAAAGTATCAAAACTAGTGTACAAGTTAAGATTGAGTACTTGACCTAACTAGGTATTCAAAATATAATGGAAAATGTACGAATCAGGGCATACAAGCAAGAAGTTTTTGTAAGAAAAAACGAGATATTGTCCATAGATATTTCACATTAGGTGTGTTACTGAAAACATTTAAAAACGAATAAGAGACTATAATATGATGAGGAGAGACAGCGTGTAGGTTACCTACCAGAGATAGATAAAAAGTGTTTGTTTATAAAATATTAAATAGTTAGATACCTATTTCTAAATATTATCAATATTACATGCCTTCTTTTTTTTCCTAATGTAGTCCTAAGAACTTTACAAGATTAAAATATTTTGCGTTTTGTATACCAGAAGAAAGTCAACAATTTTTCTATCACTGGCAAAGGCAACGCAAAATTTGGTGGAGAAAAGTAAGAATAAAAAATTAAAACATTTTTGTAAGAAAAATAAATTATGTTTTAACATTGTATATACACTGTACTTCATAGTTCTCGGCAAATCCTGGTAGATTTTCATTGACAGAAATATCAACCGATGATAATGGCCAAGAGACCACAGAAATTCGTGCTGAATTTGAATGGGGCCACGAGACAATTGAAACCATACGCAACGTAAACACTAAAATATTCGATAGTCTTGATCCACCAGAACAAGAAATGTTTTTAGTAAGTGTTAAACGCCAAATTTGAATTCTTGTATTGTTGTGTGTGACTGCATTTAATAGTAACAATAATAATTTATTATATTTGTTTCAATTTAAATAGTCAAAGGTAGGAAAGAGAAAAGTCTTGCCTCATGTTGTGGAAAGTGAAACCAGTCTCGAAAAAGCATGTATGGTGTTTCTGTGTGATGGATATGCGGAATTGCCTTATCACAATGATCGCAGGGAAGTGTTCCGGTTCCATCGTAAATTGGCTCCGTATAAAATAACATTCGCAGCTCCGCCATTAAGTTAGATAGATTAGTCAAGCATGTGATTATCAATTTAATTTTTAACAAATTGATTTTAATAATTTGTAGATGCCAAAAAAGCAGATGAATTGAGGCAACTCTCCATATACTTGGGACTAAACTTAAAAAAGTCCGGAATATCGACCTTAATAGCTCCAAACATAGCGAAAAAATCTCTCGAATCGCAATTCACAGATTCGGACTACCTTGGCATACCTTATATAGCTGTACTGAATGAGTCTACTTTAGAAGATGGAATTGTAGGACTTCGTAGTATTGAAACTACTCTTGAGGTAGGACTAAAAGCATAATAATTATAAACATACATATACATTTATAATATTATATAATGTCATGATATTTTGTACACACTTAATGCGTACATTGATGTTTGAGCTTTTAAGCAAAGTTAAAACATTTTCCAATGTCTTTTTTTTAAAATTATAATATGAAGAAAAGTAAAATCCATTTCAATAGTGTATAGCTCAAATCTATTTATACAGAGAAGGTTTAACCATTTAGGTATGCTGGTCATTGGTATATTTAACAATTCAAACTTTTTCAGAAATCTTTTTATGGATTAAAATTTTAATAAATGGTTACCTCTCACGCAACATGTTCATACAACATTGAATGAATTTTGAAATGTATTGGAGTGCTGCTATCTCCATCAGTCCATTTAATACTTGGCTTATGCTATATTCCTATTAATATTTTAGGCAAGGTTAAAATGTTTGAAAAATTAAAAGATTTGTACATAAGTTGTTTTTAAGATAATTTATTTAATTTATAAACCTATTAATACATATTAACATCATAAGTTAAATCAATCTGATATTTTTCAAACTTTTGTAAACATCTGAAAGGTTTATTACAAAACCACACACCAAAAAATAATTATCTATATCTAAAAAGATGGTGAAGCTATATTAATTTGTACTATAATTCTTTTAAAGTCAAAATATTGTAATTATTGTTATTAATAGATATTTTTCAATTATGTTGTTTTTGTTTTTTTTATTTAATTACATTATTTTATCATTATGTTTGTTTATAGGAAAAAATCCATGTGGCCAAATTGACTTCTTATGTTGAACTTCTAATAAAGAATTACTGATTATGTTACTACTACACTATAAAATGTAAAATAATCATATTTAATTTGTTAAATAAAATATATTTATGTAACATACATAAAAGATTTTATTGATGTTATAATATTACAAAATATTTTCTACTAAATACACTAATTGCATCCTTAAGACGAATTAATTTTAAAATTTTTTTGTTTCACTTAAATTACATAATCATACAAAAAAAAATGTATATTTCAATAGTTTTTCTTTTATTTTGTATTTGGCAATTGTATAGTTATTAATTATTAATCATAAATTAGTATAAAATATTTCAATTTTGTTTTGAATTTCAATTTTGGGTTATCAATTAGTATGTAAAACTCTTTGAACTTTGAAATTTTTAGTTTTAAAAGATCTGATAAGAGGTTACAAATAAAAATAAATAAAAATCTAAACTAATTAAATAATTATTCTGATTGTAACATATTTTATCTTTACTGTAGATTTTACTGTGTAGTAAATATTACGCAAGAAACAAAAAAAAAAAAAAATTTGCTAAAAGTATGTTGATTATAATCCGCTAAAAATTAAAATATGGTTTAGATTAATCAGTTTTTGGGTAAGATAAACTAGGTACAATATTAGAAACAATTTAGGCAATACGAGCCAGCTAGAAAAATATAATTCAGATACAACATTTTTGACATGAATGAGAACTGGATATATACTTATAACAATAATATAATATCAAAATAATTAAATATATGTTCATTACAAGCATTTTGAATACAATTAATTTATTGCAAGTCAAATTGAATACATTTGTTATAAGTTAGTGTATATACAGATAAAAATAAAAATATAAATATTTAACTTTATCTTTCAATACAACCCTGCTTTTATAATATTTGTGTCTGGTTACTGAATACATAATAAATATGACTCGAAATTCAAATTATTTTATTTAATTTTTTAGTTCTAAAATTATGTTAAACCTGTTATCCTAGCAACAGCTAACAATTGTGAAATATTTCTAAAACTAAATAATAAATAAAATAATTTTTTTTACAATCTTTAATTTTGGCTATTATAAACTAGAAATGTGTATAAAAGGTGAACAAGATTACAGCTAAATAAACAAAAATCTTATATTAGCATATTATTATAAATTATGAGCACTTACAATGTTTAAACATTAGTTTACCATAACTACAAATATATATTTGTTTTTTAAGAATACAATTATTTATTTTTTAGGAAGGACCTATTAGAACAAAGGAAATATATGAAGTTAGAAAAACAATAAATCATGAACATGAAATAATAATGCATGTTGAATTGAAATAAATAATATTTATCACAGACAAAGTATAATTTATATGTATCATGCACATAATTGATTATTAAATTGTACTCTCTAGTAATCAATATATATATTATCTACTCTAGTCTGATGGTTCTCAACCTAACCTTAATTACACTTGTATAAATGGCACATTTAAAATATCTAATAGGTTTTTGAAAATAAAAAAAATATCAATTTTAAAAAATAATATATTTAAATTTCACATTTTATGAAAAAATTAAAATCATAATTATAAATATATTTAACTCAAAATTAATAAAATAAAATTATAAAAATTGGTCAAAGCAATTTTTTGGGCAATATATTGTTAGTATTACACAACATATCGGTTGAGAACCAAAGTTCTACTGAAAATATTTAGTTAATATAAGAGTCAATAATAATAAAAAAAAAATATATATATATAATACATAGACATGTAGAATAGTACATATTGTACATTACATTTGTATTATCTATATAACACTCATATATGTTACGCTAATAACCTAACCATTGTTCTTGAAATGTTATTTTGTTCAATTAAAAAATAATATATATATACTTATATATTGTGAAATATTTTCTTTAACTTAACATATAGTTTGAATCAAAATATTTAATACTTCATGTACAAAAAAAAATTATGACAAATGTTATAATAGAAATACTTAAATATCTTAATATTATAAATAATTCATAAAAAAGAAAAATTAAAGACATGAGATATTATCTACATGTTTAATACAATTAATGTTGTTAGTAAATGTATAATGTTATAAATAAATTAACCGTACAGTTGAACATTTTCTAATTTATTATTTTAATATGAGAGAAAAAAAAAAATATTACCAACTATATTTTTTAAGTTTTTCTTATATACAGAAAAAGTCTAATATATAATGTAGTCTCTCATTTTATAACTGTATATTTTCAAAATTAAAACATAAATTAGGAACACACAAACTCTTAAATAAAAATATATAGCCATATTGATGAAAATTAAACGTATCTGATATTATGATGCTTTTATTATTGGAAGGTTAAATTTTCACAAACCTATGTTAAGAAAGATAAAATACTTAATAAATTTAAGGATGAATGATTATAATTATTAGTTCAAATTTACCAAGAAACTATTACAACATAAAAATTATTATTGTTTATGTATAAAGAAAACCATTAATGTCCAGACACTGAAAATAATATATTTTATACTTATATTGTTATTCACTATTTAGTTAAAATGATAATTGTATTCAACAATAACATATGTAAACATAATCATATGAAATAATAGAATACATTTTAGATTCTGAGCAGATATATATTTTGTTATTTATACACACTGAATTTTCTTTAACTACTAAAAACAACATTGTACAATAAAAATTGTTGGATAATACTTTGAATCATGATTAAAAATGAAATAACACATTATAAATTTTAATCAAAGCTAAACCAGTGCTTTTTATCTCAACAAATAACAGTGTTAAACGTATATTAAATATAACAGTTATTATTACTCTAACAATTTTTCATTTGATTTATATAAAAATTATTTGAATTGACTGAACCAAAAGTTTAAATCATAATAAAATATTTATATTATTGTAATATGAAACTCAACTAATAACAATATCATGACTGTATAAATAATTTTAAGAATAAAACAACTTATTATGTGAATATTTTCATATTTTTAAAAGTAATCAGGAAATAAAAATACATGACTTTTGCTAAAATATTTAGATGTTCTATTTAAAAACTAACATCAAAAGTGTAACAGAATAAATAATTAAAATACGCTTAAAAAATGTTGAATTTTATATTTGTAATATAATTTTTACATAGATTGTGTGATAGGCAACATGTTTAAAGATTATAAGCTATATTATAAAAAACCAACTACGTGCTTCAAATCAACTATGAAAATTACCGTGTTAAAGGTAATGATTTATGATTAAGTTTTTTTTTTTTTAATTTGTAAAATACATGAAATAATAAGTAATCCATATTTGTAGTTAACAAATAGCCAAATTATGCAGAAGGCTACCTCAATGAAATGGCATAATAAATCACAATAAATTTTTGTTCTTCAATATTGTGTAATAAGCTTTTAAAAAATATACAAATAAGATAAATGTACTTTATACCAAACTAGCTTCATTTTGTTTATTATTATCATCATTTTCATCATCATCTTCATCTTCATCCATCATTTGTTTTGCCAGTATTTTTGCAGTCTGAAATTCATTATAATGTTGTTTTCTTTTTTTTTCAAATATCTCTCTTGTAACTGGAATGAGAAAATGTATTAAATTACATGGTTAAAACTATTAAACATTTCAACAATTTTAGATCATTAAATAATAGGTAACAAACTTTTGTCTTCTGGAGATTCATCTTCAGATTCAGGTTCTTCTTCCGATTGAAATGAACTACTTCTTCGTCGACCACTTTCTTCAATCCTAATAAATCAATCAAATCAATTTTTATCTATTAATAAGATTATTAACATTCAAAGTATTATAAGATCTTAACTGTGAGAATTTGAATGGGGATTATGAAGCCAAGTTTTATGATAAAATTATATTATATTGTAGGTAAGATATGTTTTATTACGGATATTTGTAATTATATATACATTGAAATAATTAATAATACCTAACTTAAATCAATGTTAATTTTTAAAAGTTAATATCTATTACAGTACTAAATAGTGAAATAATGATATATTATACCTTTTTCTCAATTCTTCGGCATTTACACCACCGTCCATTTCATCATCATCATCATCATTAACTTCCCGTTCATACGGTGTTTTTGGTTCATCCACTTTCATATGACCATAGTCTTTATCTGGTGGATGTAAAGTCTTTAATATGTTCATCTCGTCCCACTTAGCAGACTTGTTTGTAACTTTTTTCTGTTTCCTAAAGTACAAAATAACAGAAATATAACAAAATATGTTGTATTACATAAAATGTTAAGACTGATAATTATTCTAAAAGTAACTTACTCTTTTTCTTCATAACTAACAGAAGGCTTTAGGATACCTTTAGATGGTTCTTTTTTCAAGTTATCAGTAGGATTTTCTGATCCTGATGGACTTGAAGTAGAAGCCATCTGTACTCAATTTAATTTATAATTGCAGTTATAACTTGTAAAGTTGTAATAGGAACTTCAATAATGATGCATTATTCGCTTATAGGAATTTAAACCCATTACGTATAGGTACGACAGGTACGTACTTTAGGTATTTATTTAAATACGTTATCACTTTTTTTTAATTATTAACAATTAGTCAAAATATTAAATAATATTCATATCGCTTTTGTTTGTTAAATTCATGATAAAATTTAATAGTTAATAACTAAAATGTTAAATACTGTTTACCACGGACCAAGGTATCAGTCCAATGTTGTAGAGATATCAAATTCTAATTTATGGAACACAGTTGCAGTAACTTTACAAATCATATTAAGAGGCCGTTCTATGTAGTAACAAAATGCTTTCGTACTTCCCATTTTCTCAGCTCTCGTTAGACATAAAAACATGATTTTTTCTCCAAAATAAACCTAAGAACTTTCTATAGAAGACTTTGTTCCAGATTTTTTATTTTTTTTTTCAAAGCGATTAAATTTGCATTTGAAATTTTCAAAATTTTTAAAAAATCATTTAAAATAGACAAAAGAAAAAAATCAAAAACCTGAAACATAGTCGTCTAGAAAAACTTCTCAAGTTTATTTAGGTGAAAAAATTATTTTCTACGACTAACGAGAGCTGAGGAAAATAGAAAGTACGAAAGCATGTTTTTGGTAAGAAAAATTAGAAATTTACAGCCGTCATATTATGCTGCTTTGCTAATTATAATTTATAGCGGAAGCGTTCGAAAACAATGTTCATATTATTACCCCGTGCCCAATTGCATCCTTGATTGCATCAAGTGTTATTAGCTATCAGTCATCTCCTAATGAAAATCGATTCCTGGCTGAAAAATTTTCCTACGACGGATTGTTATACCTCCTGACGTCGAAAGTGTTGTGCTGTTTTGTAGGTACGTAAAAAAGTGTAAGTCGAATCAAGTGTTTGATTTTCAAGCGATCACCAATGAAAATCCAGTTAAATGCATTTAAATCTCCCAGGTAAGAAATCCAACTGCGTCGGATCGCGGAAAATGTGGGCGTAAGGGGGGATTTTATAAATGTGTTATAGAAAATATATGCCAAACGTTAGCAAGTTGTGGTAAATATAGTCAGTTAAAAATCAAAAAAAAAAAAAATGTATTTAAAATTTTTTTGTTATTTTATAAATAGTTAGATATTGAAAAAAAATTTGCACTTGTCGTGATAACGAAAATTACAATTAATTAATTAATAATAATATTTAAATTAATCGAATTAAATAAAAAAAAAAATCTGAGAGCTTGGGGTTTTATTCAAAGCGTTGCACAGATATCTCTGAAGTGGGATTTGAACATGCTAACCATTGGGAAACATTGGGAATCTTTCCTTATACCTAACGACTATCGTTTGAGTTTAAACCAATGCCCTTTCTGGAACAATTAAACCAGTTTAGAATAGCAACGAATATTGCATTAAACGTTGTTTCACCCATGCAATTTTTACAATTCGTGTGTTCTAAAATCCTAAATCACATATTTATTGTCATTTAGAATGTTTCTGATGTATTCATTTATATTAATCGTACATATATTATATCTCATACATATTTACATATATATGATATATCATGATGTTACTCCAAATTTATGCAAAAAACTAAATGGTATGCCCTCACCAGATCAATATTATTTCATATTATAAACAAAATACATAATAGCAAGATTTCAAAATGCATGATTGTATTCATAGATAGTTTTAAAATATATTATATAATATATAAATTTATAAATTGTGTTTAATAATTAAGTATTTATTTGGTTGTGTAAGACCAAATATTTAATTAAATCTATACAAAAATTGAAATCTTGTAGAATTTTACTTTAATATTTAATATATATATGATACTGTAGGCTTTAAATTATAATCAATTTCATTTATTTTTTTAATTTTCAATATCGTTGATTAAATATTTATATTTAACAAATTCAAAGTCCCTAATTATAACCACTGACCTCAAATAGTCATATGAAATTATTAAAAGCACTATAACAACGTCAAAAGCAAAACTATTGCAATATGTTGTAATTATATTTATATATAAGAAGTAAGAACCTAACGTTAGTCAGTTATTTGACCCATCGTATGCACAATTTTTTTATACACATAAATGCATTTTATACGATACACTACTGAGACAAAGTGCTGTTGCGGTCGTAGAGGTGTCTGAGGGTTAAGATACCAAAAACAAAATAACACGTATTTAATACAGATAAATAATGAGTTTTATTGAATAATAATAATAAAAACAAAAAAAAAACATTAGCTCCAGACAATATGTCTTAATACGCGAAATAGGTAATAAATAGGGCCAACCGACCATAGAACAAAGACGCGTTGGCGGATTTTATGAACGCGACGTCGACGGCTACGAATGGAATTCAGGGACAAATGGTACATGTACGGCTCGTAAAAGACGCGTTCTACGTAATCAAAGATCGAGTGAACGCGAAAAAGGCAAAACCGACTCACGCTTAGAGAAAAACTGTAGAAAAACGTCTGACGGCTGTCAACGGGCGACCGCCTCTTTTACCGCTGCGACGACGGCCACGGACCGAATCTGGATAAAAATCGCATACGTACAGAACGAAAAAAGACACGCTCTACGCAATACCATTGAGAACGCGACGGAAAAACGTCTCGAAAGGCCGGAAAAATTGGCGAAGAGGAAAAAACGATAATAACAGTAATAATAACGATCGACAACGATAACGGGCCGTTGGCGGGAGATCAAGCGACACATGAACATTCATCAGATACCTATTCAGATGTGTACATATTTTGTAGTTGTGGGTCGACAATTCAAATATTTTTTATAGTAACTTATCGGTATTGAAAAATTAACAAAAAACTTAAACCATGTATTGTATACTATGGAATAAAAATATTAAGTACCAAAGACTCTTTAAATATTTATGTTTTGTCGGATAATTCTTTTTTAATTTTTCCATAAATCGAATACCTAGATCCTATTCAGTTAAAGTTGACTCACTCGTCAGACGAAAACTGGTTGTGACTTGTGGTCGAGTATGTCTCGGAGCGCTTGTGTTTGATGTCACATTACCACCTTTTGAATATGCACGGCGGTAAATGTATGCGCAGTAGCGGCTGTCAGCTCCGATACTTAAGGAATATCGATGACCAATCACGGAATATCCTTCACCGACTAAGGGGGTCCGACTGTTTCGGCGGCTCAGTATAAGTGAGAAAGCTAACCTAACCTAGCTTAGAAAGTGAGTCAACTTAAACTTAATAGAGTATAGGCAAGTGCTGTTCCTTTATTTTATTACCTATCATTATATGAAAACTAAATGTCATGCTGCAGAAGTTCTAAACTCAATAATATTACTTACATGAAGTGCGTTTTATAAAACTATAATTTATTTTAAATCGGCAACAGTATTAACTCTAATAGTTTATTGTAAGCATTTTGTTTTCTACGACATAATAAACATACAATGATACAAGTTCTTATGTGTAAGTATATACAACTGAAAGTTTTCATGTTCATATTTTAGTTTAAATATACATATTTCTTGAACTCAATGAATTATTCAATATTTAAGAGTGTATATTAAGTACCTACACAATAAATCGATATTGGTAATACTAATAACTAATAAATTATTGTACATTAATATGAAATAAATTGTTAACACATTGGAGACGAGTATCGTGTTAGACACGGCAACGATATTTAGATACGTGAGACGCTAGAATTTTTACAAGGGCAATACGTTGGAGACGAGTACCGCGTTTAACACGGTACGTGTGTTAAATGTATGCGGACGAATATTTCCCGCCAATTATTTGTTGTGTGGACGGACAGTTTTCTCATGTTTTCTGTAATTATTTACTAGCTATTGAATAATCTGATTAACTTGATTTTTTTTTCATTGTACTCGCAGAGTGTTAATCTAAAAATAGGTCTAAAAATAAACACGATTATCTAAAATACGATAGCTGTAATATACAGCCGATTACGACCATTCCAATGTTCAAAACAAAAAATTGACCGATAATATTATTTTATCTTGTCGTATTTTTCATGATTCACAAATACAAGCATTAAGCTGGTAAGATAATAGGACTAAACGAATAATGGTATTATTATGATATTATTATTTTTATGTAAACGCAACACATGTAATATTTTTAACTTTATAATTATAACAAGAACACATACACATTCTTCGTATACAAAAACTGAAATAGTTAAAATATAATCAATAAACATAAATTATAACCTTTTATATAAAATTAACATTTTTTCCTTCATAATAATTAAATTTTAACAAATAATAAAATATGAACACATTTTGAATTAATACGTTTAACAGTATTTACATAAATACGTACATCAAAAAAACTTACGTAAAAAATTAATAAAAAATTTAAAAAAACAAATATAACATATAAATTATTATATTTTTTTACCAATATTGTTTTTTCGTGTGGTAAACTTCAAAACAGTTTTCAATGCAAAGTGGCACATTACAAATTGGACAATAGTACGAGGTTTCTTTTTTACACCTATCTAATTTTCCTGTTTTAATTTTTTTGGAGCACACTTTGCACGTTCTACGAGGGTTAGACTTTTTTGGTGTGGGTGGAATTTTTTTTATAAAATGTCTACCAATAAGCCTATCAACATTAGTTGTCTCATATCCTGTTCCAGTCTCAATTACTTCACCTGATTTCTCGGACATTTGTTGACAGAGATTGAGCATAAACGTTTTCAAACAGGGATTTTTATTCTGTATGGCATAATGTTTATATATAATAAAACTATTGACAACACTGACTTTAAATAAATAAAAAAACATTTTTTTCCACCATTTTAATGTCTTTCGTTTGAAGGGGTAGTAGGTAATCATTTGATCACCATGGTCTACTCCCGTTTTAAATTTATTATAATCGATGATGGACACGGGCTTAAATTTTTGTATTGGACCTCCTCTAGCTTTTACAGTGACAGGTGCCATGTCAGCCGAGTGACATGTTGACATAATAAGAACGTCTCTTGTGTCTTTCCATTTAATACAAATTTGTGGACCATTCCTAGCAAAAGCCATTTCACCTTTTTTTAACTTCGCGTTAACTACACTATCTTTTGGAAGTCCTCTACGATTTGCCATCACCGTTCCTACACCATTCGTTTTATTATCCCAAAGATACTCCAACACCATAGGACTTGTGTAAAATCGATCCATGTAAATAGTATGACCTTTGTTAAAATACTGTTTTAATAATCGACTATATAGGGGTATAATTGAATTATTTTCCTCTCCCTTACCAGAATAAATCTCGAAACTTAATGTATACCCTGTTAGAGGGTCAGAAGCAATGAATAATTTCATGCCATATTTTTCGGGTTTATTTTTCATATAAACTCTAAAATGAACTCTTCCACGAAAAGGACACACCCCTTCATCTACAGTAATATTTTGACCAGGATAATATAATTTTGACATTTTATCATTTAAAAAATTTACGTATGATCTAATTTTATATAAGGAATCATATCCAGGTTGACCTTTGCGAACATATTTATCATTATTTGCTATGTGTAGCATAGAAAAAATACTAATAAACCTATCCCTTTTCATAAGTTTAGAAGCGTATGTCGTTTGTAAGACAGGGTTAGTTGACCAATAATCTTTAATATGTGGTTTTTCTACCAAACTCATATGCAAAATTATTGAAAAAAATTTATACACTTCGGAAATAGTTAAAGGTTTCCACTTATGCCAAATTGAATTTTTTTTTATAACGTTTCGTCTTTTTAGGGAACGAATAACTGAAAATGCATATCTATTTGTTTCTTTTTTTATAAGTTTAACAATAAATTGTGGGAAATATAATTGAAAACATTTTAGCTCAGTGGAGTTTTCGTTTACTTCATTTGTAATGTATTGATTACCAGTAAATGGATGTGGTTTAGGCTTTGAATTTTTTTGTCGCCACTTTGGAAGAGCTCCTTGTCTTCTGTGACTCACAGGTAATCTATCAAGTGCTGGTGGTACATGCATTGGACGATCTTCATCTTCCTCATCGCTTTCGAATCCCCACGTATGTGCTTCAGTGTTAGGCTGTTCCACATCAAGCGGAATAGCCAAATTTTCATTGTATTCCATAACATCTAATAATATTACGTATTAAAAAAATAAAAAATGTAATTACTAAATGTAAATAATTGTTTTCAATATTTTCTCTACCAATTAAAAAAAAAAAAAACAACTGATTTTAAATAAACAGTTTTTTATTAATAAATTACCATTGTGTTGTTCAAGGTTTGATTGATCAAAAGCATCAACGTAGTTATAAAATTCAGGTACAACCGGAGACAAATTTGTATACATTTTATTTAAATCATCTGTTTCATCATCATCTAAAAAATAATAATTAATAAATAATAGGTATACGTAAGAGGTATACTTGAAAATTATTTTTTTTATTGCAAATTTTTTATTTACTAACCGGAATCATTTTCATCAAGTTCAGAGCCACTGTTCTCCGCAAATTCATCCATTAATAACTGAACGATTTCATCGTCGTTAATATTATGATCCATAGTGAAGTATATAAAGTATTATTACTAATTAATAATTAATAATAAGAATAATTATAAACAAAAAAAAAAAAAAAAATGAATCGAACAAGCCAACAACAATTAAATTTAAAAATTTAACACCCAAGACATCGTACGCAATCAATGGTTGATGGGTAAATAATGTCAACAACAACATAATTATTATTTATTATAAATTTTGGACTATAATATAATATAATCGAAAACAATATCGATACAATCGTTGGTATTGCAATTTTTTAATACAGTTTAAACTATAATTTAATACAAATGAAAAATCGATAAACTTAAACGATTTCTTGTAAAACACGGTGTTCGTCTTTTAGACATAAAAATATTGACCGTTTTAAACGCGATAAGCGTCCTCAACGATTCAATGTATAAAAATAGCGTCGTCTATAATATTAAAATACTATGATCGTGTTAAACACGGCACTCGTCCTGAACGTAATAATGCCTTAAAAAAAGTCGTCTCCAATGTGTTAAATTAAAACTGACAAAAAAAAAAATGTTAATTATATGTATGTGTAATTATAATATTGCGTATACTATAATATATAAAAATTATATTTTGTAAAATAAAACACGTTATTTAAATTTAGAAACTTATTTCATCATTTTATTTACCAAAGTACATTTTTTTCACATAGAAATTTCTTAGTTATGAGTACAGAATATTAAAGTATTATTGTAATGTAGTAAATAAATATAATTATTAATTTTTTATTTCATAATAATTTGATTATACTTTATGTTAGTTATATTAGATTAACATGCAGCTAAAATTTTAGATTCTTATTCTTCATCTTCTAAAAAAAAAAAATTGATTGAATATATTATACAATAGTTGTTATGTCATTGTTTTAGAGATTTATGTATCGAATTTTTATTATATAAATGTCCAGGCTATAGAAATTATGTGTAAGATTTATGTATCGTAACCAGTTTGATAATTACTAACTTTTTATTTATCAAACAAAAGCACACTAATTAACATTTTACGCATCAAAATACTATTTTAACGTGCACACTCAATATTTGGCATGACCTCTGGTCAAACCTTTCAACAAAACTAAACGAAATAAGGTATTCATGTCGTATGCGGTCTACCACCCGTTTCTACACGTCATATGCGGTCTACCGCACATTTGTCATCTACCAGATATGAATGAATGAATACATAAATGTAGAATTACAATATATTTATTAATGTAGAATTTCAATATAATATTTAATAATATGATAAAATATATAAAAATTTAAAATATGCATTAAAATATGTAGGTAAATTAAATTAGTATATGTATTAAAAATTGACTGACAAAAAATGTAAAAATATATAGAAATATTATATAATATTATATATTAAATATTATATTTTAATTTGTAAAGTAGTAATAAAGCATTTTAAAGTTAATTCTTATGAATCAGAAATACTTACTATAATCTGTAAAACACAACAAAAACATTAAATTTAATACTTGTAATATTGTGTGATGACTGATGATTAACATGATTATTTCATTAAAATAAGTTGGTCTATAAATTTAAATTACAAATAGTTATTTTTTACCTAAAATTATTCATAGATATTATTGTTTTATTTATCATACGCAATAAGACAAAAATATACTCACTATTTCTAATACATAAATTCGTCACTGGAGCATAAATAAATCCAACGAAATTAAATATAAAAAAAATTGCTAAAATAATAATTTTCACCATGTTAGTGAGTAAAAAAAATTACTATATAAAAAACTATAACTGAGTTGAATTTTAGATAAAGTAAGAATAATATAAAGTTATGTTTAACAACGGGTTTTAAAGGGCGTAATTGTGTATACAGTAGCAACCAGGTAAACTATTTTGACGGGTGGTAGTAAATAGTGTTATTTTGTTTAGCTGTGTGCAATAGGTACATTGGTATCAACATGTTTTCATCAGCTGGTAGCTATCACATTGACTATAAGTGTACATATTTTGTGAAACTACATATGTTATGATTTAATTTTAACTACGAAAATATAATTTTTTCTGAGTTTTGTTTACATAATATTCATTTTTTTATATGTAAATATTTAACGCAATATTGTAGACAAAGTGCTTAAAACAAAAAAGCATATATAATAACAAACAATATATTTGCGAATAAAGATATATCAAAATTGTGGTAGGCTAACAGTACTGAATATAGGAGAAATTCATCAGAATGGCAAAACCACTTTTAATGTTACTATGATAAAAACTTTTTATTTAATTCTTTAAAAACTGATTTATTTGCGACATAATTAAAAAATTATATAGATACTATATACAAATACACACATACACGATTAGGTTAGATATTAATAAATGGCGCCACTGGTAATCGAACAAAAGGTCCGTATTAAAAAATGTTGAACAAAAAATCCAGATACTGTTTTTATAGTCGGACAAAAATTCCAAGCACATTTTTAGTGTCTCACAAAGAGTCCGAAAATATAAAATATTCTATTTGATAAATATTTATTTTAAAAATGTTTGTACATACATTATATTATTATATCCGAAAATACAAAATATTCTATTAAATTTAAATTTATAATTTTATAATTTATTATTAATTTTTATTAATTTGAATAGATACCTAGATACGTGTATTTAAAAATATTAATATAAATTAGGTTAAAAAAATTAGAAAATTATAATGTATGTACAAACATTTTTAAATTTTTAAAATAAATATTTATTTTATTGAATATTTTGTATTTTTGAACTTTTTGTCTGACACTAAAAATAGTAAAAATGTGCTCGGACTTTTTGTCGGACTATAAAAACTGAATACTGACATTTTGTCAAATTTTTTTTAAAAATGGACTTTTTTCCTCGGATTTTTCATCCGCAATTCGGCATCACTAGTGTATTAATCACTACAAGTTTGGTTAATAGTTAAATAAACCATAATTTATTATACTGGTTTAGGTTGATTATCGTCATCATAGATGATAAAATAATAATTCAAAATCTCTAAAATTCTATTTAAAAATAAAAATGTAATTTATTTCAAACGCGACATTGTCTATTTACAATTTCCATTATATATAATTGTTTATTTTTTTTATTGACGAATTTATGATAACACGATTTAGAAGTTTTTATATGTTCACTATCTGAGCTTATCTGTCGTTTAATACATTTCATTTAAAATTAAACTAAACTTAAAAACTTAAAAAATATATGAAACAATTAACAAGTATTAGTATTAGAAGTGACAGGAGGCTTTTCATCTAAAAACTTAGATTAAGTATTTAGTCTATTCAGATAATATAATGTTAACAAAAAAAATGTATGATCATAATATAACAATAATATTTTTAGTCTTTTACGAAATTCGTACATTAATATTATTGTCGAAGTAGCATACAATGTTTAGTTTAAAACATATACTTTTTGAATCTTGACACGTCAGTGCGTACTGTAGGTACATAGTTAAACAACATTATTTACTATCGTTTGCTAAAATGCAGTTTACTCAGCTATTTCAGAATTTACATTTTTTGTTGTTACTAAATAAACCTTTGAATATCGTAGTAGTACATACGTTTATATTATTTTTTAATTTATTGTATTCGACAATTTTATTCATTTATAGTTCATACACACAAACATGGTCAAAAATATTGATAATTTACCTATTTATTAAATATTTAATTTTATAGGATGTTTATATGCAAATTGCAAATGATTATGTATTCATAATATTATGTTTCATTACACATGATAAATTATAGATTAATGGTTAATATTAAGTAGAAAATACACAATAATTGTAATTTAAATTCATAAACTGGCTGTTATTTAATGGAATTAAAATCAAAATATATTATTTAATATTTAATAGAAAGAGATTTTCTAAAAAAAAAAATTAATTTGTGACACAATAAATTATTTTGAATCTATATGCATGCGCAATACAATTATAGCTGTATTTTAATTGTATTCCTTATATTACAAAACAACTAATATAAAAATAAAACCAAAATTAGTTGGTTCTTGTAATACGTAGGTACCTACTACAGTGTAAATTTAATTGTTTATTATCACGTAAATGTATATTTTAAAACCGCTTATAAAAAATACCGTTGAATGGAATGGCAAATCAATAAATTTATTTGTGGTGATATTCATTTTTAATTTATTTGCATTGTAGTTAGAATCAACTTCTTCATATAGGTAGACGTCCATTCCCATCCAGTCACAAAACTAAAATCTAAAATTGATCATATCTCTTCAGAAACAAATAAAATATCACGTTGAAAATATGTAAATTTTCTTAGTTTAAATACAATACTCTATTAGTTACACGTTAAAATAAACTATAATACATTTATGACCACACTCCAGTAAAATCTAACGTTAAAAAATGTTTAGATACCATGCATCTTTGTTATCCACTCTGAGTTTTATAGCTTTAAACTTTAAATGCATACGCTATTAATTTATATTAAGCTGATATACCCTAGGATGGTTATTGAAAATAGGTCTAATGCAAATACTCCGAATGTGGTATAAAATAACATTATACTTTTTGCTGCATAGATAATCTCAAAAAAAGGTATATGTTTCTGAAGTAGATAGGTATCTCAAGTTGATAATGTTAATTTTTTGAATAGTCTCTGTATTTTTGTGTTTTATCATTAATAAAGCGACTAATTAAAACTGTTGATACGATTACATACAACGTTGAAGAGATAAAAACAAAAACGAAATACGAATTAAACTAATTAAATATTTTGATACTTTTTAGATTTTTGTCTTCCACAAAAATGATCTTATGATTGTTTCTTTTAAAAAATTAATTTGATAAAAATGACTCATACGTAATTTCTATTATATTCAATAGTTGTATTTTATTATAAATTATTATTATTTTGAGGTTTATAACCTTAAGACAAACCATATAAAATATTGTATTATTATTTTTACTATTTCGACATCACTATTATTATAAGTATTATAGTATGGATAGCGAACGAT